ACTCAAGATGTTCCCCCCTCAAGGTTTCACATATCTGTTTAATAAAACGCTTGAAGCGATTTCTTAGTTACTAACTTGTAATATTATTATGTGGCATATAATGGGGAAAATTCTTGTGGCAGAAATTCCAAAGAGAAAATCAATAGCGGTAACACCTTATATTTGTCGTCCTTGGAAGTTGTACTGATTAGGATGAATTGTAGAAAGGGATACGTGGACAATAACTTTGCTTGCTTTGTTGGAACGGACAGACAATTGAATTCTTTTTTAAATTACATTAATTCATTACATAAACGTATATAATTCACTATCGAAATTGAACAGGATAACTCTATTAATTTTTTAGACTTAACTATTACAAAAGCGCAAAACAAATTAGATTTTTCAATATATCATAAACCTTCACACACGGACACAGTCATACATAACAGCTCAAATCACCCTTATACACACAAAATGACTGCATTTAAGTCTTTTATACACAGACTTCTTAATACGCCACTCTCGACAGAAAATTACAACAAAGAACTTAATATCATTAAACAAGTTGCACTGAACAACGGCTACAATCCGTCCATTATAGATAAAATTATAAATAAAAAACGAATACAGACAACAGTAAACTCTATTTATCCGAAACCTAATACAGAACACGAACAATTTAAAACAATTACATACATAGGAGAACCTAGTGAAAAAGTTTCAAAACATTTGTCAAAGTGTGGTTTAAAAATAGCTTTCAGGACTAACAACACAATATTTAAAAAACAATAAAACGAAATGTCCAAAATTGCAAAAATCAGGTGTCTACAGGTTGAAATATTGATCTTGTCCTAAAATTTATATTGGACAAACAGGTAGATTCTTTAAGAAACGCATTAACGAACATAAAAGAGCGTTTAAAAAAATAGTTTAGATTCTAACTATGCTACACACTTAAACACAGAAAAATACATTTTTGACGACAATTTTGATATTTTACATAGAGCCACAAAAAGTAGAAAATTAAATTTATTGGAAGCCTTGGAGATTAACAAAATGACACATTCAAATGTATTGCTTAACGATCAATTAGATTTAAATACCTCTCGTTTACTGAACTTAAATTCTCACAACAATAATTAAGGTTTTATAGTCATTTTTCGGTATATATAGCAGCAGGTAGTATTATAGTAAATATTACATTTGATAAAGACACCGTCGAAACAATTGTCATGTCATAATATATAATTTCGTGAAAATCTGAACTTTAAGTTCTTATTTATTTTGTAGAAAGGGAATTTTGGAATATTTTAACAAAATCAGAAAAATCCCTAATCTTCAAAAAACTTGTATTATAAACGTATGTGAATGCTCTACACACGCATAAAAATTATCTCAATTTGTAGGTACAATTTATCAGCGGAAATCAAAACAATAGCCATGCAAAATAAAGAAAATCGTAGAAACTTTTAACAGTTACAGGTTTTCAATCACAGATGGCAGAAGGTAGCTGTTTGTCACTCTGTATGAATATTTAAAAAAACATCATTATTAACGGAGGCAATTCTTGAATATTATTCATTTAAATTTCTATATTTTCGTAGAAAATAGGGGCAAAATAAAAGGGTGATTAACCTGTAGCGCAGACCGAGGTTAGCAAACACTATACAGTCGCAATCGGACACTGAAGCTGATCCCAACCCAGGTAATCTGATACACTTTGTTTTATAGATATTTCACAGTAAAACTAATCATTAATTCGAATATCCTCAATAAAACAACAAAATGCATGGGATATCTAGCTATACCCCTTTCACTCACGCTCTAAGTTGCACCTCGGGCATTCAATAAACTTAAACGAACCCACTGTAGTGTAATATGATGGGACTGGCAGTGCATTAAATCCGCCGTGGAAGTAATAATTTGGTTTCTCTTCATCGTACTGAAATGTTCGCGATTGAGGTGAGTTTTACAAACCTCGGAACACCACAACGTGTTTCGTTGCCAAATCGCACTTGCCAACGTATATATTTTTAAATGAAATGAAATATTTTTGCTCGCGTCTCACAAACAACGGACGAATAATTTCCTCACCTTCGACCGACGTTATACTTTAAAAACAAACCCCGACCCGGACAGTTTCTTTTGTTTTGGTTCGGTGAATTCTATGTAATTCCTTTTATCACTTGGTTTATAGTTTTTTGTTTGGTTTCGTCAACCTGGCTGATAACATTGTCATTCGGTTTTCTAAATATTCGAAACAGTAGTGACGCACTTTTTGAATTTGAAAATGTGTTTATTTAACTCGAAAAATAAGAGAGCATCCGTTTGATTGATACTAAGCCGAATTTGTTACAATCCTTGAATAATCTCGGCAATGAACGGTTCAACTCATAATAATTCATTATTAATATAATTAATAATGAATTAATATTCTTCTTAACTAACCAAAACTGAACTCCGATCTCTATCGTACCTATTGATCAGGTAATTTAACTTTGTACTAGACTTGTGAATTTGTTTGAATTTTTGTTTGTTTATTTGTTTACCGTTGGCATCGGTTGAGATTTCTATTTTGGTTATTTTTTGTTAAGCTTCAGGTTATTGTATGCCTAGTAACTTCATCCATTCCTTGTGAATATTACTTGATTTTTATTTTATTTGCATTTTTTGGAGCACCCTAACGCCCCAATATATTAAAGGTACACAATTTCCGCTACTTAACGCTTGCCTAGTTAAATTCAACCTCAACATTATTATCAAAAATATATGAGGAAACAGTTTTTGCGTGCCGGTGCCCTAAGAGGAATACGAAGCTGACACTTAGAATTATTAATATCTACAAAAAGTTTTTACGAATGCTTTATCAGAATCACTTTAGAACCTAACATGACAATATTGTACTTCATAAATTCATAAAATCTTGAAAGAGAAACCTGGAACATTTTCATTTCAGAATTATTATATTATGATTAAGTTGCAATATTTTTAGCATTTTTCTTTTGACGTCCTCTGTCTTGATATTAATGTAAACGACTGCATTTTCTGTATTTTTTAAGTTTTACTAATTTATATTGCTGAGTGACTTTGATAATTGAAAAAAAAGCTAGACATTTTTGTTGTTAAGAAACGTCCTCAAACGCCGCTGGTGTTAAATAATTTCAAACTTAGATAGCGCGAAATTGAAATAAACGGCGCTGTTCTAAATAATAATAACGCATAGAAAACAACAACTTCTAGTGAAGTAGGATTAATATTCACCCCTTATTTTGTTAACGAAATTAAAAAACCTCTTGAATATTGAGAGCAAAAAAAGACGTCAGTGAATAAATTCTTCAAAATCTACTTATTATCAACAAAAGTTTCTTTGTAAAAAAAGCATGAGCTAGCTACCAGCTACAGCACAGTTTAAAATAAATAATGATTAAGGCGTTTAATGCCTTCTACAAACGACATCAGTGATTGTTGAGTGGAACTTAAGTGCAAACTAATAAATTGCAAAATTAAGAAGTTATTGTCACCGTGTTTGAAAGATTTCTCCCAACTTACCTGTCTCTGCTGTGTGGCATCCAGATCACCGTAATATCCAAATTGTCTCCCACCAGCTGATTTTCTCAGAATTTTAGACACTACATCCGTTGGGGCCATTAAACATCAATAAAGCTATTCCATATTATAAAGGGTGTTAATGGGGTCGCATGTTTTGGAAGTAAACACACAATTCAAACTTACCAGTACAAACGAAAACGTACCGGAAATTTGTAACTACGCGGTTGATAAAGCATATTGTCGACAACGTTAAACGTTCTTAAACGCAAAATAGGTCGCAATGACCTTTTACTACGAGCAAGTTCTTGAAATTGAATGGGAGGTTTTCAATGGTCGACGCGCGCTACATGCGGCATCTGTAGTGGTGGTAATCGGGCGACCTCTCGGTAGTACTGTTCCACCAACATTAAAGAGAATAGAAATCTATTGGACATACATTTATTTTTCAATTTGTCCGGCTCAAATTAGGACTTTGTTATCTACATTTTTTATAATGTCTTTCGTAACCTGGAATTTTTATTTGCAGAAATGTTTAATCCGTAATAAGTAAAGTAAATGAAGAAATTGGAAATAACAGGTACCACCCACTTAATCTGCTGACTGCCGTTTCATCTTTTTTAGGATTGTTTTATTTGTGACATTAGGTCGATTTTTATTGTGTTCATTATCAAAGATCGCTTCTTTTGTCATGGGTAATTTCATTTTGAGCGAAACAATAATAAAAAAGAATAAAGAGTACTGAAATGTGTTCCAAAATCTATTATTCATTTTCCCTGGAAAGAAAACATGTCTGATATGTTGATAATTATTTATTGTGGCAATAAATACAATCAATTGCTACTTTTCAATTATTTATTTATTGACATTTTGATAGTCTGATACGTAGCTGCACTAATTTAACTCCGAATTAGATGAGATTAAAAATATTACATTAAAATCCCATATAAGTGTCGATGTTTTCGTAAAATCGTTTACTTATTAAGTTCCAAATATAATAACCGGCGTAAAATTTTGAGAAGGTTAATGAGGCTTCAGCAAGCATCGCCCTTACCAACTTTTAAAGAAGCTGATCTGACTGCGCGATAGTAATGGACATGGATGCTCAACTCGAGCTCTAGTCGAAAATAAATGTCTTGAAAAGCATAGAAGAATACGTATTGACGGAAACTACATTAAGCTTCGACATTTAATTCTATTTTAGATGGATATTTTGCGATGATATAGAACTCAATTTTCAATATAGCGCTACTTCCGATTATATCGAGAATTGTATTGTATTTTAAATGTAAATGTTGCTATTTTCTCAATTTCTCTGACATTTTTATACAATATGTTATATATAATATAGGTAAACTTTACCACTTTTGAGATATATTTAATATTGTCTGCAATATATATAATTTAAATTCAGTTATTTTCTTCGTACCAATATCGGTTAATCGAGAAAAAAATAAAGTCGTTAAATAAACAAAGAAAATCCTAAAGGATTCTTAATAACTATTTATAATTTTATTAATGTGCAAGCCAAATAAAAAATAAATGAATCAAAAATGATATTTGTTCTTTGTTTCTGTTTTTTTTTTTGGAAAAGTTAATTCTGCTAGACACAAATTATTAGATACATTTTATTACAAATTTACCTACTTACTAATAAGTAATTAAAGAAGTTACTTATAAAATATTAAAATCACATAACTTAGTGGTGGCCATGATGACAGATGGCCAACATTTATGATCGAATAGAAAACAGCCAGATTATTTCAAATAAAACAAGTAGTTTCCATTAAGAAATTTTCTTTAACCTACATTATCAATAGTAGCAAAATAATAAAATACGAAGTCATATTCACACACTTGAAATCAGAAACCCCACCAACTAAGTGATTAGCTTAAGAGCGCTAAGAACTACTAGAAGGGACAAGGAGAAATACGTAATATTGCCAGTCGATCTCTGCGTCTGGCTGTTGCATAAGTCGGAAGTGCACCCAGCGCAGGAAAATCCTACAGCATCGTAGTCATGATAGACCGGGAATAGGACTTCCTGGATCGCCTGACATATTATGGAAGCGTTGGTAACGCAAAGCCTTATTGTGTGATCGTATCTCGCTGAAATTTAATAACGGAATTACGTTAAAACATGATGTGATAACTATATGTTATTTGAATGTTAACAAAACCGATGTCTGTGGTGTGTGTGTGCACGTATATTAAATTAACTATAATTTTATGAAATATTCATGCATGTGTGGAAAGAGAAAACCTCTCGATGTTTCAGCACTAAATAGCAATTATATCCGTTCTCACATTGGTTTTGCAAGGAACCTTATGATTTGTTAGTTCGACCTTTAACAGACTGTAGGGAAGGTCCCAGTATTGATACTTTTCGACAGCCTTTTGTCTTTCAACACAACTATCGAATGTTCCGCGTTACTTCTCTCTGTTGCTGATTTTTTGCGTTATTATTTCAATTATCACATAATAGTTGTAACATCTGTTAATGGTAAAAAAAATCTGAGTTACTTCTCGCCAGTGTTTGTAATTATTCGAGTCCCAATCCTTATTAATTTTGGTTTTTTTATGTAAAATGAAATACATTTGGTATATTTTTATTACTGTTAATATACAGTGCAGGTTTTACTTGCCAATCAGAAGTTTTGATATGACTGTATAATTATAGTTTAAATCGCAAGGGCGAAAAACTGACTCTGAGATTTTAAAAAATAAGAAAAGTTGTGCGGTTTTCACCTTGATTATTTTAAAATTTGGCCTTGTCACTCGTTTTTCAAGGTAAGGCCGGTGCAGTTTTTGCATTCCGGCACATGTGGTACCATTAGATTTTTTCTATAATGTTATTGTTCCAGCTACAACTTTTAAATCCTCACCTTCGTGTACGGTGGCAGTTAGACACCCAGGTAAGGATGAATCTCTAATAGATGGAGAATTAGATATCAGCTTCGACACAGCGTTGGTTAGTCTTTTGATGTGGATGTCGTCGCCATCGTATGAAGCCAACCCTTGATTGCAGTTGTCTATGTGAGCCAAGGAAGTAGCGTTGGCACTATTGAAATCGTTGCAGAAGCTGTTTCCGAAACATCGGTAACACTGAAGGGAATATACTGGAAAATAAATTCTATCGTCACCAAAATGCCGAGCCAGTTAATTAGGTAACGGGTCCCATTAACAATAGCAATTTATACATACATTGGTTGCAGTCGTTAATAATATTGTTTTAATTTCAAGTTGTTAATACAAGTTGTTCGTGTATCTAAGTGTATTTAATATTTCTGTTCTGAAGTAAGAATGTATAATTCATTTCCCTACGTAAAAAAGGAACGATATCCAACTAAGTAATAATACAAACTTCCAAAAAGAAAAGGAATTAGAAACAGTGTAAAACAAACAAAATATAAGAACCAAAATGAAAGGATGGTGTATTCTACCTCTGACTTGCTTTATATGATATTTAATTTTTGGTATTAATAAAGACGACGGCAGTTAGTTTAAAGTGTGAGACTGTGTTTATATGCAAAGTCTCGTAGGAAAAGAACGGTGAGCTTTTTCAGGCCTCGGTTGTTGTAGTTAGATCAATATAATCAGCAAAAAAAGTAAGGAGAACGAAAATTTAATAGATTGAGATCTTTTACGATCACAATACAATAACGAAAAAAATTACAATTCAAGGTATTAATTGACGTTTTATAAAAAAAAATAAAACAACTGCTACCAAAATTACTTGCTATCATAAAAATCTTGAAAGTTTTGATTATTGATATGTACATATAGGTAATTTTCTCGTAGTACTTTAGAAATATCATTCACTAAACCACAGTCGCGTCGTATGCAATGTTGATTTCAAAATAGCGCAATGACACTTTCCATATAAAAGAAACTCACCCAAGCTCGGCAGAAAAACTACCAGCAGTAGTCCGGACAACATTTTCGTAACTAACAACAAAACAATTCTTGCAGGAAATTTTCCTAATTTAAATTTAATATCGTGGATTAGGTGGCAATATATTAAAAAGACATTATCGGCGAAAGCTATTGACATGACGTTAATTATCCAGTCCAGTATCTTATCATTTCGTCAACATCTAACGTTTTATTACCTTCTTAAGAATAGCTTATACAATTTTTTTTGGAAACTTAGTTGGCAGTTTTTGAAAATAAAAGTAAACTATATAGCACATATAGATCGGGGCTCCTGACAACGTTTCGATGTCAAGCTGGTGCGAATAAAAGTTTTTTTGCTGAGTTTGCACTTAATCTGGTACTAAAGTTATATGTTAAAATTTCGCTAACGATCATCCAAAACGGGCAAATTTTGAAACAATTAGTTTCAAAATTCCCAGAATTTTCTGTGAAAAATTCTGTTAGTTGAACTGACAACAGAAGCGGATTTGAAAATATGTCGCATTTTTGTCTTGTTATTTTCTTTGCTCAATACTGTGGTTGTACTTTTAAATTTTGATATTTCACCTTCCGAGGACCTTTTTCAACTTTTTTTTATCGTTTTAAATACGAACAATAAAAAACTAATTCATGTATACAGATATTTTAACTTTACTCTCAATTCTTTAAAAGCGCCAGTATTGTTGTATATCGAGTGTTACATGGCAGGACTCGCATTTTAGTGATTTCCGGTTTATTATTTGCGCAATTAGAGAACCACTGTCTATCTGTTAGCAAAACTTTTAATCAGCAGAAAAATAAGTAGTGTTCTTTAGCCATTACCTCGTAAGTTTTTTGATCTTTTTTTTATTTCTGAAAAAGGAGTGATTTCCACTTATAAGATGCTGCCGTGTAGCACTCGATATATATAATCTTATTTTTCAGGTAAACGTCTATTTAAAACATATCTAAATGTCAAATTAGGACATCTGAACAATTTTAAACCAATGGAGAATTTGATGCCATAAAACAATTTGTATTGGAAGTAATAAAACTTTAATACCGGATTAATCATTGTTACCCTGTCATATGCCTTATCTATTCGGAAGACGCGATACAGTTGTATCATCATAACATCTTAATTAGAATCACTGGCACAGGCTGTGAATGTAAAATGAAAAATTACAGTTTATATTTTATCCTAGTGACCTCTTGGCTGTACACCGCCGGTAAGAGTATTCGGTTGCTTTTGAAATTTTTACCTAAATTCCTGCGGTTCCATGTTAGATAATATGAAATGCGTTTGTTTTTCTAGCACCAATATTCTTGTACTAGAGTTATGGAGCATTTTCGATTTTCTCAGGATAACTAACGATGAGAATAACCTTTCAACATCTTGCACTGTTTTCAAAATACAAATTTCAATAATTTTACCGAAAATTTCGTTGTCTCGGGAGCTGATTTTTTTTTCATGATTGAATTGTAAATGGATATCTCAATAGCCATCCTATTTCAGAAATCTTGTTTTTTTTTCAAAATTTGTAACAATCGAAGTGTGACTGTGTCAACGCTATGATCTGTCTGCCTCTGTATCTGTTAGGGCATTAACAGGATAAGAACAGCCGCTCTCCGTAGACTTTCCCACGCTTTCACACGTTTTATAGGCTCTCCGTGGTACTTGGTGACCACGAGGCTGTACAAGATTAAAAAAACGTATTGCAATACTCCAACTCAATTCTTAGACAAACAAAAAACATTATGTAACCTGTATGTAAACATCATTCGTAGGTAAGTCGGTAGAATACTGCTCCAATGTTGTAGAGTCATAACAACATTACATTTAAAAAAAATATATAAAAGTACCTTCTTTTAAAAATCATCCTATCGAATATTGTAAATTTGAACAAAATTATTAACCATTAAAATATTAAATGTTACTGTATATTACCTCATTTTTTTATTAAAATAAAAAACGACAATAACAAGTTCCCTTAACAAATAAAAAATCTGCTTAGATTGTTTACCCTAAAATTAGTACTCTGTATGAAGGCGTTAGGTATGGTCTGTTCATAGATATAAGAAAGCTTTTGAATGGGATTATCCAAGGGTGGTCATCAACATACAATGCAACAATATTATTACCTAAAGCTTCGGAATTTAAATTCAGTTAAAATTGTGGTCCGTAAGAGAAAATAATTTTATACCTACCTGTGTTTAATATTCTTTGGTTTGGTATACTACTTAGTTTACGTTTATTAGTAATCATTCTTATTTCGTGTGTAATACAGCGTGTGTTGAATCGTGTGCGAATTATGCAAAAAAAGTGCGAGTCTAGTGTATCTCAGGAGATACTCCCGGCCAAATGTAGAAAACACTATTCTATTGAGACTAAGGAAGTTTTAAACAATGTTTATTTGACTTTCATGGAACGTGGTGCCAGCAAGCAAGCATCTTTAGAAGAAACGGACACATTGACGAAAATTCCAACATCAACTGTATGCAAAAAATTGTGAATAATCCCATTTCAGCGAGGAAAAAAAGAAGCGATGCTGACTTTTCTCGAGCGTAGATGAAAGTGATCAAGATATAATACGGCGTTAAATTTACCAGTTATACGAGGAACAAAGTGTGCCTACATTAGATATCTTAATTAGGAGGCTCGAAAAAGATGAAATCGTTGTTAAATGTGGCAGAATTACCTCATGCAAGTGTATTCAACACATGATCAACAACTGATAAGTGTAAAACAAACACGCCAACAAAATAACGTAAAAGAATAACTATTTTGCATGTTGGCTCTAAAGATGGACTTTCTCTGCCTGCGAAAAATATTAATTCTCTGGATTACCATGAAGACACCACCCCTGAATTATTTGAAAGTTGGTTTAAAAACAAACTAGTTCCAAACATTCCTCCTAATAGCGTCATTGTAATGGACAATGCAAGTTATCACAGTAGACAGTGGACTAAAACCCCTTCCTCATGTGACACAAAAGCAACAATCCGAAACTACATGTATAATAACGACATTTATTTTCACGAAGGTTATACCAAAAAGCAATTAATTGAGGTTCTACAAAGCTTGAACCTACAAAAGGAATAAGGCTGTGATAATTATGCAAAAAATCTAGGGCATACAGTTTTAAAGCTTCCACCTTACCACTATATATTTAATACCATTGAACATGTTTGGCACCAACTGAAATTTGCCATTCGTCGTAACAATGTTTTTCCCTGTGTTAACTTCAATGTCCTCAAAAAGAAGTTTTTAAAATCGCTCCACAAAGTTGGGCAAATTCTGTTAAACATATAGAAAAAGCAGAACAATCGTATATCCATATTGCAAATAATATAGAACAAATAATAATTAGAACAGGCGATGATAGCGATAGTGATACTTAAGTAATTTAAGTAGGTAATAAAAATAATTTGTAATTTTATTTAAATAATAATAAATAAATAAATATTGTTTAGTATCTTTCCTAACAAAACCCCAAATAATTAAATTTCTATGCAAAATACGGACCTTTTCGGCCAAATTTCATTCTTACAGCTTGTCCGGGCCTTTCCTTAATGCGTATCAGTTAGTCACTTTCTTATATCTAGGAACAGACTTTATCTACATCAATATAAACATTAGGATGCATCTCCAAGCGTTATAAAGAGAATAATTATGAAATTGTTGAAATTATGGGTATTCCACTTGTCTGGTGATATGACGTGAGGTGTGGAAATTTTTAATAAAAATGAAATTTCCCCGCAGTCGGAGCACACGGCGTGGAGCAATGTTATTTTTGCCTATCGGAAGCGGACGGTGAGGGTTGTCATGATCCTGTGAACCTGAACGCCACAAGAATTCACAATTGTGCCGAAAATACTTTGGAACCAATCTCGTCGTATTTGGTGAAGCAACAAGACCTAAGACCATCGCTGTACGACTCGTCTTTTACTGCAGACGCATCTCTTAGGACAACCCACGATCACATATGCATGACCGTCAGTTATATTAACAGTAAGATTTTTCAATCCTTAAGGTGATCCACCAATCGATAACGAATTACTAATTTATGGTTCTCCTAGGCCAATTACAATAAGAATATACTGCGCGACATATAAATTGCAAAGCCCAATGGGTACATATATATTTTATTAATATTTTGAGAATTAGTTATGACAGTACCTGCCTAAGGTAGGTTTTCCCTTGATAACCTTTCCTGATGATGTAGAAAGAAGTTGGAGACAGTTTTACTCAGCCTTTTAGTTTTGCTAATAGGCTGGTGATCTTACGGGCCACGGAAGATGGATTACATTAGCTTGTTTTAGGGAGTTTTTAGTAATTGGAACAGTGTGTGCCTTGCATGACAGAAAAATTGGATCTTTCAATTTGTGAAGGAAGAACAAGGCGATTCAACTCCTGATTCCAATGAGCTCGTTTTTGTCACCATGACACGACGCAGCTATGTGTATCGGTTCGCGGCAATACCAACCGAGAAGAGGATTCCTGCAGCACCTAAACTCTAATTTTCCGACAAATCGATCTCATGGATATGTTGGTCCGTAGCTATCCTCGCTCCCCTCGTCCCATTTCTAAAGATACCATGTCTTAGAAATAGTTCTTCGCGATCACTGGTTATATTTCAAACCACAAACTATTCCTAATTACAAATCACTCATCTATATTACATCACTGCTGTAGCATTTCGATGTTTTCAATGCCCCAAGGTGGTAAAACTGAATAACAATAAGTAAATTCTTTAATAAAAACTTGAGATAACATATTAATTATCATTTTATAAATATAACTAAGCATACACTGGGTATTGCACAGTAAAGACTTTATAATTACGGAAAAATTGTGTAAAGTTAGAGTATTATTTCCTTTGGAGTAATATCAAATATCGAGTTCTTCAAACGTCAAATATAGACTAGTTACTGTTGCCTTAGTGGATCCTGAATTAATTAAAATTTTTGTTTCGTCATAGTAAATGATTTTCAAGTTTTGGTTAGTTTAAAGAAATTAAAGAAATGCAAAATACACTAAAACAATATTACACTTATCCATATTAGGAGGCTAAGACGTTATAAGTCATATTTAACCCTTATAAATGAGGGTAACTTATTTTAAGACATTTTTGTTTCAGACAATCAATTAATCACTCAAAGAGGGTGCGAAAGTTACTCGTTTAACGAGACTCTGACGACTTGCGAATTTTTCCCAACAATCTTGCCCAACAGGATCACCAATTTTACGTGCGAAGTCTGCCACAATAACCTGTGCAACAATTCGCCTGTGTTTAAGACATCTATATGGACGATCGTTTTGGCTGCAACTGCGATGTTCTTGTTACATCAATAAGTAGACAACAAAATAAATAACTAATTGTGTTGCATTTTTCTATTGTTTTATAAAAGAATAAATGTGGGAAATGGAATTTTTCTAGTGGTTGTGTTTAGAAACCAATTTCTAAACGCGTTGGCACTTGTTTTGTTAACTTTTTGAATGTTACATTGTTGTATAGAGCGGGAATAGTTTTAGTTATCCCCATTCATATAAAAGTATATACATTTGCTCACCCTATATATAAGTATAACAAGATGGAACGCCGTTTTTCGTCCTTATTTTGGACAGATTTGCAAAGAGGGCTTCTATCACAGAAAGACTTCGAATTATTTTACAAAAGCAATCTATCGTATCGCAAAGTAGGTTCAATTAGAGATGCTCTGTATTTATCAGCTGAATTCTGGGCTAGTATTTTTCAAAATAAAAACTTTATCAAGTACGTCTACATGTTTTGCTAATCCATTTTTATTGAAACATAATGGCAAAGACATATTTCTATAAATTGTGAAAGTACATATTCAAAGTTTATTTCTTAAATTTTTATGCCGTTGGGATACTAAATTCTGAGAGAGATTCGCTCCATTTTTGAGTGTGTACTTCTCCTAGCCCTGAAGTTTCGTTTTCTGAAAGATTAATCATTGCTTTTTGAAGACGTTCAGCGCCGATATTAAAGTCGAAGTCAGTTTACAGCATAGAATAAGGAAAAATTGAACATGGTAGTAAAACAGCTAGTTTAGAAATCATTTTAATTGAATTACTTGGCAATTGCTAGATGCGATGATATATGGCTTCGAACATAAACTGTACTTTATCTATTGATTCATTGGTACACTGCTTGGTGAAAATTATAATAAATATTGTCATGGGGATATCTTATCTTTCGTTTATATTTTAGTAGTGAAAGTATTTTTTTGTATTTCAATACCAAACTAGAAACGTAAGTTATATTTGATAGATCAAAATGAATATTTAAGCGAGTATTACTTTCCGTATTCACAAGCGAGATTATATGGTTACTGTGAACGTGAAAACTAGAATTACAAAAGCCAGCGCCGCGCTGGTCATCTGGGATCCATTGACGGACCCGTCAGCGTTAAACAGGTGATTATTGCATCTCGTCGTATTGCAACTTCTGCAGGAAGCGATGGTAACATTGGGCGTGGTGTTGTTCTCCATAAACCAGTCGCAGAAGTTCTCCACATTTGCGTATTGGACTCTGCAATCCCTATAAACTCCGGTCTGACCTGCGTCAACTCCTGTTGATTAATTTTAAGTTTAAGTTATGGTTGTTTTAATGGTATGTAAGTTTTGGGGATTTATATGAAACTATGCAGAATGTAAGGCGATCTACAGCTCTGTATTTGAAAGCACACAGTGTTGCAACATATAGCAATAAATTACTTATTTGGCAAGTGAGCAGCTGTTTTAATGTCACTTTTATTTTCTGCCCTAAACCAAGCAGATTTTGTTTAAATTTTTAAATTAAAATCAAACAACCGCTCCTCAGTTTGGATAAACTTTACAGGGGGCGTTTCAAAATTGTTTTGTAACGAAATTATATAAAGGCTTTTAAGGTAGTGGTAGCATTTTATTTTAGAATTATGTGATTCAGTTAATTTTCTCAAAACGGAATTTTGATGAAACATCCACGAAAATAAAAAATACCTCCGGCATCTGTGTTTTAAGCACTCTGCCGAAATTAGAGTTTGGAATCACCAGAACTAACTTAAGTTAATTTAAAATATTAGATATATCTATGTATCTGTAAGTAATATACGGTAGCCTACACCACAGCACTTAGATCTCAGCTTATCGTGCTAGCTTTACATCAAGCCTAGTGACTCCAGGTAGATGACATATCCAAGATTCTGCTAATTGATTGAGAGGTTAGAACATTCGCACAGAATGTGTGCTACTGTCTCATTTTCCTTTTCGAACATGGTGGGTGGGGTGGGGTGCGGGTGCTATTCAAACCGAACCTGAATTGGTGTTTGTTAAGTAGGCAATGACCCGTTAAAAATGGTTTGGAGAGCGTAATCGGTTTCTAGCTCGCCAACGTTTTCTGCTTCATCCCATTGCTTTTCCTGTATCAACTGACAGATCGCTAGATCGACAGAAGGTTCCGGTCCTATAAAGTTTAGGCCGGCAGCCCTAAGCAGCAACACAACAAGATATAATTTCATTTTACTAAATCAAAGTGAAATCATCGAAGTTTAGTTAAATTTAAAACTTGTAGCTGAATTGGATATTTTAAAATGATTATTAATTAAATTAATTCCTTTTCCAACTTAGCCGAGCTTACTACAATTCCGGTATATTGAATTTTGTGCTTGCATTTTAAAAACATATTTAAAAGCGAACTTGACTCACTTTCAATTTAAAAAAAGTAACCGAAATGATTATTGACCATATTGCTAAAACCAACTATAACCACCTAACAATTTCTCAAAGCAACTTCCACAGGCTTACATTACTTACTTTTTACAAAATTTCTGGATTTCTACTGTGTGGCTTCTTCAGAGCCTGACTAAAAGGTAAAAACCTGAGTCGCGATTAAGATTGTTAGCTTGTTTATAGATTTCTATGCCCGGTTTCGTGAATGTGTTCGGCAACTGCTGATAAGTTTATTTGGCTCTTTCATGTTTTTTGAGCCTAGTTTGTATTTTTTTTGTCCGGTCTCTCTAATGTATTATTTGCCGCATATGCATGGAATGCTGTAAACCCTTGGCATCTCAAATGGAATTTTGTCTTTGACGCATCGAAGGTGTTGAGAAATTTTTGGACAAGTGGTAAATCTGGTTTTGACGTTATATTTCTTTTGAACTTTTGATACTTGATGTTTTGAATGTAACAAAGAACCACAGTGGCAAGTGTAGGATTGCTTTGGGCCACAATGCTATTGGAAGGTTGTGGTGAAGTGTATTTTGTGATGGAACGCTCAATATCTTTAATGTGGAAATTATTAGAGAGATGAGAAGAGGTAAGGTTTAAGCCTTTGAGAAGAAAGCTACTTCCATCTAGAACGAAAATTATGGAAATGCTATGTCGATGATACTTTTGTTATTTGGCCTCATAGTCAAGAATCCTTAGTAGATTCTTAGACATTTAAACTCTATACACTTTAACATACGATTTACCATTGAGATAGAAACTAATAACAACCTCCCATTTTTACATATTCTTATTAATAGAAAATCAGACCTAACATTGGGTCATTGTGTTTATAAAAAAACCTACGCCCACAGACCTTACCTTAATGCATGTTCACATTTACATTTGTCCAAAAATCTCGCAATATCTTCGGTCCGTCAAAGACAAAATTCCATTGGAGATGCCAGGAGTTTACAGCATTCCATGCATATGCTGTAAAGAATACATTGGAGAGACCGGACGAAAAATATTAACTAGGTTCAAAGAACATGAAAGAACCTTAAGACTAAGACAAATAAACTAAAACTAAAATTCGTGCATGTAATCAATTCTTCTACCAACGAAAAATCCAACAGAAGGAGGAGGAATCCAGAAGTTTTGTAAAATGTACCAAATAATTTTAAAATAATGTAAATGTTTGTATATGTTAAATTTGTTGATTGTTTTTTGAAACGAGCAGACTAACATTTTTTACCGCCCCAATTATGGTCAGCCAAAATAAAAAATAAAAATATTCAACGTCGAAAAATAAAGTTGGGTCCCAAAACTTTGGGACTTGACCCCGTATATTTATTCTGAGAGCAACATTTAGGAGGTAACTTAAAATGTGATATTTTCAAACCCTGCATGTGAAAAACGCAAAAGGGTTAAAAAAACTTTAGTTTGAACCATTTTTCGTTTCACACGAGAGTATCTCACCGTTTTGAAAACCGCATTTGCAACGCACGAGGCGCAAATAGAATCGGCAACACTGCAGCTTCTAAAAAGGTAAATAGAGCAAACCTAAGCAAATTTTGAAAATTTGAAATAAACCCGATCTCCAGATATTGCTAACAGCGTTGTCCGGGTGAATCACACTTGATTGATGGCTTTGCGTTATACCTGTAACTTTGAGATATGCAGACACACACAGCAGCGTTGCATTGGCGTTCCTGTCGTTGTACTTCACGTCGCAGTTGGTTACCTTTACCCCGGGGTTTGCATCTGTATTTTCGCATTCCACTGAATTGGGCGACTCGCAGTCGAAACATTGCAAGTTGTTCTGCGCAGAAACTGTTACAGGGAAATTTACAGATGGAACAACACCAACTTTAAAAATAACAAGATTGTTTACTGTTTTTATGGAAGAAAGAAACAATAAGAAATAAATAAGTAGCTATATAAATCAGCCTTGGTAAAATGAATAGGACAAGTTTCGAGGTTTCGAATTATTTCCAAATTTTCTAAACCCAATGGCGTTTTAAGGTAGGTACTTACTCAGTTGAAGCATAAAAACTGCACAAAGAAACACAGTTAGTTTGCCCATGACTTTTCTTTACGTTATAAAAGTATTTCTTAATTAACCTTATTACTCGGCAGGGTACGCGATATACGACTACAGATATATCAATTATCTCGTCAATTCGCCGATAAGATATGACATATACCTGATATTTGCATTAAACTGTTACGGGAATTCCACAAGGTTTCTGATAACGACCACAGGGCCCCAGCTGTTACCAGTAATGGTGGCATATTTTTATTTTTAACTTCGCACTTAATTACAATTCCATTTTCTCTTGCACAAAATTAGTTCTAAACGTGGGTTTATTATGCGGTCTGACCAAACTTTGGTTAGCTTAGATTTAATACATCAATAAATAAATCAAAATAATAATCAAGGCGGAATCATATGTCGCCCTCTTTAATTAGATTGGTTTGGTTAAATGTGTTTTTTCTACTCCAGTCTGTAAAATACCTAATTACACACCCATCTAGCGTGGGGGAAACGCCACTTTACCACGTCAGTTTCGTTTCCCACGGTTCCGAGCCAGTTCGGACATTACCTGGATTTTACCGCACGAGTTTGAGGGCAATTGGATGTTTTCGGAGATATTTCCTTTTAAGTCACTCATTTATTAAATACTCGCTCCGCTCGTGTCAAATACACTTGCATAATATACTATCAACGAAACTGCACACACAGAGAGAAAATTTTCCCTATCTGAATCATTTTAATAACAAACGTAACGCAAACTTAATTAAAAGAATAAAATTAAGTCATAATGAAAATATTGCCATATTTCCTCAAATTAAAATGTATTTGCTATAAGTAAATCTATATTTATCGGAAGCATAATCTTTTTGACGCCAGTAACCGGTTTTTTTGATTGACTGACACGCTGCTAGATAAATTGTTATCTGAATGGGGAGGGGAACATCTTATTCCGGTGTTTCAAGGACCTGGCTAAAGTTAGTTTGGGATAGGGATTGAAATCTGCGTCAAATTACAGTGGACTAAAGAAATACTGGTCAATATTTGAAAAATGCTGTCTGAACCTTATTTTTGAAGCAAAATTAACGCAATTTGGTTGTGTTTCTCAAGGAATCCTCCACCGAATGTCCCTAGCAGATTTGAAAATACTCCACCCTCATACCTAAATACGTAAACGTTTGTACGATTTCAATGATATTCAGTACTCCTGGGTATGGGAAATAATCCGTTTAATTTTAGTAATATTAGAATCCATTCCGAACATAAGGGTAGGGGTGTGTTAAAAGCAGACCATGGCTGGGGGCCTCAATTAAAAGGTAATTAAGAGTAGAATATGAAAAAAATGTTTCATAGATTTTCATAATTTCCAAATTATTGCGTATGGGGTATATATTAAGGCATATATTATAAAAATGTTAAAAAAAATTAATTTCAATTTTTTTTTTCAAATTTTGCTCGCTTGGTACAGCATGGATTAGTAAAAACGTCTAAACAGACTATACCCTTGAGTAATTTTCGCAGACAAAAAAACTAATAAAGCTGCTTTTATTGAATTTAATTATCATGATTAGTTTGTTAAATGTGCAACCTTGAAAAAGATACCCTTATCCAAATAATTGGACGTTTTATTCTGTAGGCGACTTAATGCCGCGTCAAAAATGTGTGGAATATTAAGTTAATTTCGCTTTCTTTAATAGGACTGGGCACCTTGTAATATTTTCCCTGTCGAAGATGTCGAATAACACATTTTTATCAAAAAATTGTATGTTTCACCCTGTAGACAATTTTGTGATGCATCAAAAATGTCGAATATGGAGTTAACTTTGCTTTCTTTAATAGTACTTGGCAGCTTGTAATTTTTTCGCCCTCTAAGGTCGAATATTTCAGTACTGTTTAATTAATTTTTTTTATCATTTTTTACATTATAAAAACCTATGAAAAATGTCAATTTGACAGATGACGTCTATAAATATATTTTTTTATAATCTACTCTTAATTGCCTTTTAATTGATGCCACACAAGCCATGGTCAGCATGAATTTGCGAATTATGACATTTTAAAAATCTCCCACCCTTATGTTCTGAATGCATTTTAATATTAAAACTGAACGGATTATATCCCATAGCTAGGCGTACTGAATGTTATTGAAATCGTACAACAGTTCTCATCTTTAGGAATATGGGCGCAGTATTTTTACGCCCCTACAGAGGGGTGGGGATGAATAAATTTGTAAGGGACATCCAGCGGAGAATTCCTTGAGAAATGTATGTACTAAATTTAGGTAATTTTGCCTCAAAAATAAGGTTAATTCAGCATTTGTCAAATATTGACCAGTACTTGTTTCAAGGTATGTACTATTTACGAAACTTCTGGATTCCCCCTGTTGTTGAGTATATATAGTTTTATATTACTACAGTACGCCCTAGTTGTGTGGGGTGGTCTGTACACTATTCCTCCTGCGTCAGTTCATCCTGTTGGCTTCTTCGGCGCTTAACTTTAACAGTTTCAGTTAAGCTCTAAAGAAGCCAACAGGATGATTGGCGAAACGTTGGCAAGTTTGGCGCAACAACAACCGATGCAACCGATGATTACGGTAGCCTGTGGAAGTTTCTTTGAAAAATTAAGTTTCTTGAAAACTTAAAAAATGGGTACCTAATATTGCTGAGTCTAGGTAGTATTCTTCAAGTAGGTACATTGTTTCTATTGAAGAAACTAAATTTAAAGTTTGGGTTATTTTAGACATATGCTCAGATAGAAAAAGCAATAAGTGCAAAAAGAGGGAAAGTAGAAGTTCCCACAGGCACTAAGGTTACACGATACGAATTAAATTATTTAACTAGATTAAATTTTGTTTATTTTTAGAAACTAAGTCTTTTTCTCTGTGATTGACGACTTTCTTTTATAAAATGTTGAAATATAGAACGCGTCGATATCATTATCCTAAGATACATTTTCATTACAAAGCGGTGGTCTCACAGGACCTCAGCATAGTAAAGAAATGTATAAAAGATGCGTTTCTTATAATATTGCTCAAAATACGGGGTGCAGCGCATGTATATGCCAAAAAATATTCTAGCTATATAACATATTTATATTTGGTCAAGATAAATCCGGAAAAATTACAAAAATAAGATTGCAGGATAATGAGTTTTGATATCGCTGCGTTTATTTTCCATCAAGTTCCATCAATCGTAATTATTGTCAACAGTCAGTGTCAGATGTGTGAAGTTAATAAATTGCTAGTTTTAAAGTGAATTACTTTTCAAATAGTGATAAGTATGATATGTTGGAGTGTTTTATTCTCTGCAGTAGAAACGAAGCAAAAGCCGACGAAATATATTTAAACAAATATCCGGAAAGACGTCAACTGGGTAGAGCTATGTTTAGGCTTCTGAAAGACACATGGGAAAAAGATACAAGCCTCCAGTAGTTTAGCACACATTCTAGCAAAATATATTTTACTTACCTAACTATTATATCTTTATTTTTAATAAGATGAAGCTGAAGCTGAAATTTTATGCTATCACAGTGTCGAAATTATTATGCAACATTAAGTCCAGAACAGTCGGAATATATGGAACTTTCTAATCTTTTGTTGTCCATTTATTCTTAAATATATCTGTCACATCGTTAATTTTTGCACCAATAATTCCGTTTTTCCTTCCTCGCACATATTGTGCCTCTTTCCCAAACTAAAAGTCCCACAAGTTATAATGAATTACGCCCTATTAGCATTTTGTCTGTAGTTTCCAAAATTCTGGAAAATGTCATTAAAACTCAACTGATTGATCATTTGGAGAAAAATACTATTCTGTGCAACTGCTCCCCTAAACCTCACTGAAATTTATTTGGAGCAATTGACGAAGCCAAATGTATCATCTTTGTCATGTTGGATTACTCTAAGGCGTTTGATACCTTGAATCTATTTTAAAATACATAGGGCTTGATAAGGGTGCTGTCGAATTTATGGGGAATTACTTACAAGGTCCTACACAAAAAGTGGTTCTAAATGGACAGCAATTAGACTGCCGTCCTATAATATCTGGAGTGGGTCAAGGCTCCATTCTGGGGCCAATTTTATACTGTATATATACGTCCGCGTTTCCTGGGTTTATACAACATTGCAAAACCCAAATGTATGCAGATGATACACATGTTTATTACTCATTTTCGGGATATTAAATTTTGGAAAGCTGTCAATTCATAAATAATGATCTAGAAATCATTAACAGGGTGTCCCTAGAACATTCACTTCATCTAAATCCAAAAAAATGTATAGCATTGTTCTTTGGTAGGCATATGGATGTTGATCGATTATCTCAAGTAGTCGAACTAAAAATATCGACTGTGTGCATTCCTCTGAAAACGGAGGCAAAAAACCTTGGGCTTATGCTCGACAATAAGCTAAGATTTAATGGTCACGTTACAAAATGTAGTAAAAAATCCATTGCCCACTTAAAATGCTTATATGGTTCTAAAAATATTTCAAATAAATCAATCATTAAAAAAGGTCCGTGTGATTCGATAATTTTATCTTCTTTTAACCACTGTGATGTCGTATATGGCCCATGTCTGACAGCGGCTGCCTCAGAACGGATTAAAAAAAATACAGAAATACTGTCTAAGATTCATTTTTGGGATTAAACGCGACAGGCCTGTTAATCATAAACTGAAGGAAGTTCGATGGCTTAATATGAAAAATCGACGATATCTCCATAAATGTAATATTTATCACAAAATTATAGGGTTGAAGTTTCCACGCTATCTTTAAAAAAAAATCAGCTTTCGCACGGACGTCACAATTTAAATTTAATGGCCTGCTCACCCCTCCACGTCACACCTCTGGAATTTTTGAAACATCTTTATATATGACATGGCTAAAACATTGTATCAGTCTCTTAAATTGATATACAATACCTTTTCGACACACCTGCGTGAAATATTAATATAATTAAATATTTAAGTAATGTCCAAAGTGTAAATCCCTCTATTAGCACAGATCGTACTAGGTATTTATTTTTTTTTCTTTTTATGTTTATTTTTTCTGCCTAGCGCTGCTACCTTTTAAAAACGGACGCTCAAAATATCTTATTTTGTTCATATGAACCGTGTCCTTTTCATTGTATATTAATACGTGAATAATTTTTTTTTTTTTTTTTTCTTCACGTTTTCAACGGTAAGTAATAATGTTGTCGGCCTGGTTGGGCAAGACAGCATTCTTTTTCTTCTCTACTCTTCTATATTTAATACCCTCCTCATTATGTTGCAGGTTGCAAGTATGGCCGCTTTTTGCATCTCAAGATAGTATTTTTCGGGAATCTGCAGTTGTTTTAGGCCATCAAGGGTCTTCTGCGGGATTTCTCCTGTGGCTCCTATAATCAATGGTACTGTGCGAATTCCTGAGACGTTCCATATTCTTCGTAATTCGTTTGATAGAGGTATGTATTTTTCCAGCTTTTCAGTGTGCTTCCTTTCCAGATTGGCAGGCGCAGGGACGGCAACATCTATCAGCGTGAGCGCATTATTATCTTTGTCCAGCAGGCAGATGTCAGGTCTATTATGTTGCACAGTTTGATCAGTCAGCATAGTCTTATCCCAGTAGATTTTTGCTCTATCATTCTCCGTTACTGGATCCGGTCGGTACTGGTAGTATGGAGCTTCATGTTTTTTTATTCCGGCAATTTTGCAGAGCTCTCGATGGACAATTTTCGCAACATCATTATGTCTAGCAGTGTAGTATGTAGGAGCTAGGATTTTACACCCACTTATAATATGTTCAATGTTTTCATTGCCTTCCCCACACATCCTGCAGCAGGATCTTTCTATCTGTGGATCTTTCACAACATATTTCAAATGTGATCTTGTTGGTAGTATTTGATCTTGGATGGCACATAAAAACCCTTCTGTTTCAGGGAAAATATTCCCATGTAAAAGCCATCCCAGTGACGCCTGTTTATTAATATTTTCTGATTGCAGCATAAATGGATATCTGCCATGCAATTCCTTGCTCATCCATTTTTGGGTCTGATTTGCCACATTATATTCAGGGTCAATTTCAAAGTGTATGCTGCTTATATTAAGTGGGGTAAGGGATTTGTCGCATTTGTTTATAGCATCGTGAAGGGCCGATGTCATTGCGGTTTTAGTAAAGAACTCTCGAAGGCTTTTAATCTGAGTTCTGTGTAGTAGTCGTAGATCAGTGATTCCTCTACCTCCCTGCCTTCTTGGCAGGTGGAAGCGCTCTTTACTCGATTTTGGGTGGTGGGCCCTGAATCTTGTATACATGGTTCTAATGGTCCTATTTGCATCTTCAAGGTCGGTGGTGGTCCATTTAATGACTGCAAAGCTATGTGCGACAACAGGTATTGCTAAGCTGTTTGTAGCAGTTATTTTGTTCCTTGCCGATAGGGATGTTTTCAATATCTTTTTTAGTCTCTCCTTCATGGTGTTAATCAATTGATGTTTAACTTCTTTTTTGGCTATTCCCTGTGATTGCAGAAAGATCAGATATTTGTAGGATTCATTTCTGTCCATTGGTAGAATCGCGCCTCCGCCTGATCTCTGTAGAAGTTGGAAATCCTGGCCTTGGCTCCATTTGCCTTTGACAACAGAGTTGGTCTTGCATTTATCAAGGCCAAAACTCATCCCAACATCATTTGAGAATTCCTCTACTGTTCGTAGGAGCCTTTTCAATCCATTGTTGGTTTCTGAGTATAATTTTATGTCATCCATGTAGGCTAGGTGGCTTATTTCTTGGTTCGTATTGGGTGTCTTATAACCGCTTCGCTTGCTCTTTATAGCCGTGGATAGTGGGTTTAGTGCTATGCAAAACCACAGGGCGCTTAAGGCGTCGCCTTGGAATATACCCCTTCTTATTTTTATATTTATAGGCTTGAACACTGGGCATTTGGTGCTGATAGTAACGTTGGTTTCCCACATCCTCATCATGCTAGTAAGTAGGTTTATAATGAGCGGATTGATTTTATATAATGAAAGACATTCGATTAGCCAGGAGTGCGGGACGCTGTCGAAAGCTTTCTCGTAGTCCACGTAAGCTGTATAGATGTTTCGTTTGTTTACTTTTGCGTCTTCGATAGTAACTGAATCTATGATTAGCTGCTCTTTGTACCCTTGCGCGTGTTTTCTACAGCCTTTTTGCTCCTCTGCAAGGAGGTTGTGCTCAGAGATGTGTTGATAGATTTTTTCGGATAGAATACCGCTGAAGAGTTTGTATAATGTCGGTAGACAGGTTACCGGCCTATACTTTGCAGGATCATCCTGTGGGGGATCAGATTTCGGCAGGAGGTAAGTTGTCCCTTTTGCAAGAAAATTTGGGAATGTCTGTGGATCAACCAGGATTTCTTGAAAGAGTTGAGCCATCTTAGCGTGTGTTGCAACGAATTTTTTATACCAGTAGTCTGCACTCCGTCCGGACCCGGTGCCTTCCAGTTCTGTGATTTTGAGAGTGTCTGTTTAATGTCGTATACTGTAATTGTCGGAGGTAGCATCATGGGTATCTTCTCGGTTTTCTTCTTCTCCATTGCGATCCATCCAGCATTATGCTTGTGATTTCGTGGGTTATCCCAAACGTTGCTCCAGAAGTTCTTTACAGCTGCTTCATTAGGGTATTGTGCGTCGTTTGTTTTTTCTTGTGAGCCATTTAGTAAGTTGCGGTAGAAGACTCGTTGGTTTCTCGTAAACAATTGATTATCTCTTCTGCGAAAAACGACGTTTTTCGCAGAAGAGATATTATTATTATTATTATTATTATTATTATTATTATTATTATTATTATTATTATTATTATTATTGTTATTAATAGTATATTATGCAACAAGTGCACTAAACGGCATTTGACTGATCAGTTTATTTGACACAAGCGGAGCGAGTGTTTAATAAAAGAGTGACTTTTTCTAAGACCGTTACACAACATAACACCACCATTATTATTTGTGTAGTTGGTGTTTTTGGTATATAGGATTTTATTTAAGTTAACTAAAAATTTATATTTAAAGAAAAAAAAAATAAATTGCTGAGAGCGACAGAAGTAACTCAAAGCTTAGGATCACATTTAGTAAGCTTTTATTAAGTCCAATATTATTTTACAATTATGATTACATAAAGACATATGAACGAGAAAAGGGAGAGTTGAACAGAACTGGAGCTATTACAATTACTCTCATCGCACGATTTGCAGCTCTTAATTTTCGCGTTACTTTGATAGAATCGGCAAATATCTTCACCGTTGTATTGCTTGTAGGAACACGATTTTAGTGTACGGTCCTTGTCTGAAACCGAAACATATTAGCTTTGTAGATTTGAGACTCACGTTTCGCTCCTTTTACTGTTTCCTTCCGCAGTTACCGTCAGGCATGCGACTCCCACACCTCCAGTCCCAGAAGTTATGTTCGCGATTTGACCAACGGCTCCCTCGGACATGCTGGAGCCGCATTTTCGGACTATAGGGCTGGTGCAATTTTCCGATAAAGGACAATAATAACAGGTCTCCGGGTAGCTCGATACGATGCCTAGAAGTAGTAATGTAGAATGATTGGATGGAGGAGACAGTCTACTTACAAAATAATGAAAGAAAAGAGATGACGGCGATTGTGTTCATTGCAGCGAAATTGGAACCGATTTAATAATCACTGGATATCTGGTGGATTGATCCGCCGTAGGTGCGCCCGACTTGTAGTGCTTCATTTCATTATCTCTTGATATTTATATTACCTTGGAACGATGGGTTACGAAATCTGGAAGATAAGGGCAAAATTTAGTTAAATGGCAAGTAATCTATAATAATCGTACCAATGGGGATTTTTACTGTAATTACTACCTCGAATTTTATTTTATTGTTTTAATACAAGAAACAGATCCAAAGTGTAGCTGGTTACAATATGTTGCTATAATAGTCAGAAATAGAGCTGTATATATGTACACACTCCTAGGTGTCAATTAAAACAAATAATGTGAATAGGACAAGGAGTAATTTTTATAGTTTATTTCATGACTGACAATTCAAATAAAGATATTTAGACAAATATAAAGAAAATTATATTTTTCACATCTTGCTTTATAGCAACTGCAGCGTAATTTTATATAGAATGTAGATTAAAGAGAAATGAACATATAAATACTGAAAGGTAGAAATCAGGACCCGAAACCTAAACTGAAGAGTTCTACCTAAAATAGTTAATCTTGTCTCGGCAATTAGATTTTTTAATCCCGAATATTAAAAATAAAATCAATTTCTCATCAGTTCGTGGTATCTGTAAGACGCAAAACTTTTAATCGTTACTTAAAATAAGTGGGGAGGGCTCGCGAAAATTCCCAAAATAGATATCATAAATGTCGAAAATTCCCCGATTTAATTAGAGCAAAACAGGGTGTACCCGTTTATTTGTAGCAGAAACTTAACGGTCGATATAAATCAACAAGAATACTTCACACATAGGACAACAAATGATTAATGTTCGGGATACAATAATATAAACATATAGCTTTCTATTTATCTCCCATTTAGAGCTCCCTGTTTAAACAATGTACATATACGAAAGACTATAAATTTTTCCTTATTAATTGGTATTTGAGATATTTTCGCATTAACTTAGATACATTCGTTATTTAAAGGTGACTTGATCGTATAATTGCCTTGGAGATTACAAAGTGATAAATTTTATTCCTAACCGATTTCACAATACCTATTGGATATTTATCCAGAAATATCTAACAGCAATGGCTCCTATGCAAACAAATAGACAACAGATTGAGTGCAACTGATTGTGCAACCCATTTTTGCCAATTCGTGGAACGGCGTTTTCATTTTCAGATAATTCTACATTGATATAGCGGACCCTCCCCGTTTTTGAAGTCACTGTACGAGATAACCACAACGCAAAAAGTAATCGACTACACGATCGAAATGGTAAGGAAGTTGTTTGATTTTCAGATCTAATATATGTTTAGTTAGTGAATTTAGGTTGAAACTGAAGTAGGAAACATAATTTTAAACATGTAAATGCCAATTGTTTAACTTAACGGTATGCAAAACAATAGAATAATCTTTGAATATATAATGTAACAAGTTTTATGAACGACGAGTTTAATTTTAAGTTCAATAAAACCGTCAAGAAGTTGATCAACCTGTTGCATACTTATGCTTAATACCGCTTTAGTCACGAGTTTCATTTAGCACGAGTCGAGCGAGTGTTTAATAAGCGAGTGACTGAAGAAGTTTATCAACTATACTATTTCTACGAGAATTAGTTAGTGGGTATAATTTTGAAGGAATGATAGAAAGCATGTATACTATTAGTAATTCAGATTAAAGTTCGGTCTATCGAAAATAACAATTGATATGATTTTTTATTTCAACATTATAGTTTTTTTAAGTCAAAAGCAAGAATTTGTGTTCCTTAATACGGTATATATGTAGTTGACAGTTACTTCCTTATTCTTATTTTAAGAGCAAAATGGAATGTGGATCCTATTAAAATAATTACAATAATTTTTATAATTGATGTTTTAAAGCTCAAAATTTTGAATTCGATCTTAGTTTTGGTTTGTTTTTTAAATCACTTTAAAATTATTTTAGAAAATTTATTTTTAGAAAGAAAAAGATTTAGAAAATACAAAACTTAATATTCGGACCATTGTATAGTTTCCAAGCATTTAAATGTGTACTTTCTTTTAAACATTGTTTTTGTTAAACACTTTAAAATATATTAAGTGTGAACTTTGCAAAAAATATATAAAACCAACCTAAAGTATCGCAGAAACGAATGAACTTAATTATGAAAGCCTTATACAAATTTACCTTTGAATTCTAATTAGAATTAGAACATATAGGAAGTTCTGTTTAATTGAAACAATTAAACCATTTTAAAAATAAAAAGCTAAATATTCGGACCACTCTCTATTTTCTAAAAAACATTGCTGATGTAACGATGTAACAACAATACTTGATAATTTTTAAAAATTAGAAATTTTGAAAATATAAAATGAAATAAATTGATAAATATAAACTTAACCAATAAACTGCCTCTCCTGTGAATTAAACGTTAAACAAATCAAAAATTATAAATGATATTATTTTTTTAGGACAAGCATTTAAAAAGATGAATTTCAAACTTTTACGTCTTTGCACCAGTCATTGTTTGACATTATAGACATAATGTCGGCTTCACTATCCCGAGGCACTTCGAATGTTTCCGGTATTTTAATAGTGATGTAACATGTCACTCAGTGAATATATACATGTGAATAAATGCATTCATTAAATATTGATGGTTAAAACAGGATAATATGCCAACATGCTAAGTTATTCGTTTATTACGCTCGTATCAAATCAAAGTGGCAGTTATTATTGCTTAATGGTTGAATGTTAAAGAGTTTTAAAGTTACATATCATTTTTCGTTTGTATTTTTCAATAAAAATACAGTGACAGTATTCAAACTCTTGACTGGAACCTTAGGCACTGTACTAACACACAATAACGCGTTTTACCACAAACCGAAACTCAAGTTTACGTACTCGACGCGTGTTTTGTCAACCAAGTTAGCATCTTCGGGAGAAGATTAAAACTAAACTTAATATCTATCTATCTATATCTTATATAATTGAAGAGGTAATCACTCCGACAAAGCTTTGCATGAGTCAAAATATTTTTCTATATAATAGCAACTATTATCAACAACAAAATGGCACGGCCATGGGAAATTGTTTATCTCCTTTCCTGGCTGAACTTTTCGTGCATCATTTTGAACATAATGCTAAAGAAAATTTCGAGTACTTTCCTAGGATATGGTATAGATACGTCGACGATGTTTTCGCGGTTTTTGATACAACTTCCATGGATTTAAACGACTTTGTTTCAAATTTGAATAATTACTTCCCATCTATTAAATTCACATATGAAATACAAAGTAACATGCAGTTGCCTTTTTTGGACGTTCTCGTTATCAAAAACAGTGAAAATCATATAGTTTTTGACATTTATCGGAAAGACACTAGTACTTTAAGATACATAACTAATGATTCTAACCATGCTTTTCAACATAAAATGGCAAGCTTTAATTTTCTAATCCATAGACTTGTCACATTTCCTATAAATCAAGAAAGGTTTGAGGTGGAAAGAAGCCTTATAAAAAAGGTGGCTAGAATCAATGGCTATGAAGATAGTTTTATCGATAAATTAATTAGGAAATTTAGATTTAAAAACAAACTTCAAAAATCAACGACTTTTCAAGCTGATAAGGAAAATTTAAAAGTAGTCTCAATTCCTTTCTCTCCCCAATATACAAGTGGAATTGACAGAGTCTTCAAGGCCGCAGGTCTTCGAAGTGTCTATCAGTACAGATCAAAATTAAAAAATCTCTTGGGTAATCCCAAGGATAAACTAGATACCCTGAAAAGTTGGGAATTTATGAAATATGTTGTAACGATTGTGACAAGTCATATGTAGGGCAAACCAAAAGATCAATTAATATTAGATTCAAGAAACATTTAGCTCATTTAAAATTTGCTAGATTAGAAAAATCAAGTGTAGCCGAACATATGTTCAACAATAATCATAAGGTAGATATTAGTAATTTAAAATTAGTTAAACATGTAAATAATGGTAGAAAATTAGATGCCTACGAAAGCTTAGAAATTGTTAAGAGAGGGAATAAGGCACTGAACAAGGACAGAGGTCCAATCCCATTTATCCCATTATACGCGCTGATTGGTTGCGTGAACAGTGCGTAATTTCCCCTCCCACTTCCCGATGTGTATATATATATAGAGAACATTTGTTCTATTAAGTTTAGTTTTAATCTTCTCCTGAAGATGCCAAATTGGTTGGCGAAACGCGCGTCGAGTACGTAAACTTGAGTTTCGGTTTGTGGTAAAACGCGTTATTGTGTGTTAGTGACAGTATTACATGGGTCTTAATTTAAAAGTCTTTTGTAATTAAGAAACGTTCTAAAAATATCTTAAAATTCTGAGTGTTTCGTATTTTTGCTTTAACTGGGGAAAATACTAGCGGAAATATGAATTTGTCTTCGTCATCATATTCAAATGTGCGCATCGAGAAAAAAAGGCTCAAAAAAATTACATTTCAACCTTTAAATTTCAAACGAGCATATCGTATGGCACTCGACTATTAATAATTGTAAAGACGTTTGAAATGAATCCAGCATTTTCCTCTAAGTAATAATAAGCTTAACATAATGTGTAATATTTGCTTCATTTGTCCACAAAAACTTTTAAGCTTTTAAATGTCACGACTTGACTGAAGTTTGCTTTTATTTTCAGACTATGCTACCCAAAGCACTTATCTTCCTGTTTTGGTTAGTACCACTCACCTTGGCTGACGGCGTCTGCGATTTTGATACCGTGGGTGCCATCGGATTTGTCACCTGCAAGAGTTTGAATCAAGCCGATGATTACCTGTATCAGATGTACAAAATCAAACCCGAATTTGATAAGGCTTCTTTAACTGATATCTATATATTCATATCAAATTCAAACTTTCAAGAAGTAAACGAATGGTTTGTGGAGCCTTTTCTGGACATATCTACCAAAATTTCTTCGCTAAGCTTGTATAACTGCTTTGTGCAAAGGATATCTTCAGATGCTTGGAGTGTACTTTCCGATCTAACTTTTCTGAGTCTAAGTAAAAACTCCATAAAAGCATATCCCTTTCTTCAAAATTTAAAAAAGCTTCGAAATCTGGACTTCTCGGAGAATGGACTAGGAGATTTAGATGTCGCAAATTTGTTCAGTAACATAACTTCTAGCACAATGACTAATGTTGATTTGAGTTTCAACGCCATTAAAAATTTGGATTTCTCATGGTCCCGATTTGCGAATTTGGAATTAGATTTAACTTACAATTCGATCGAGAGATTTGATTACAGTAACGTTGGTGTTAAGAAGGCTAAACTCAGTTTTAATCCGATCAACGAAATACTTTTTCCTCCAGGCGATTTGCTTGATTACTTAGAACTAGCTGAAACGAGAGTAAAATCTATTAGAAGTACCAATGATGCGGCCACTGGTACAATCTCGGTTAATTCTTTATACGCAAGTAACCTTGATATTGATTTGGACTTGTCTATACTCAGCAACGTTACCGGAATTCAAAATTTAATTTTGAAAGATAACAAAATCTCAAGTTTGGATAGCGATATAATTTTAAAATCCTTGTCCTCCGGGTCTACTCTCGATTTATCGAATACTAGCCTGAGTAGTTTTTCGAATGGGTTCTTCAACGGTACAAATAAATTAAACGTCTTAAATTTAACATATAACTCTATAAAACAAATTCCCGCGAACTTGTTCAATAAATCACAGATTGGCACCTTAGATTTGTCCAACTCTCAAATTTCCCAAATCGAATCCGAGGCGTTTTCGAATCTCGTTATTCGCACTACTTTAAATCTTTCTGGAAACAAACTTGAGAGTGTAGAGAACATATTCGGAGAGATCACAATACAAGGGACGCTAGATCTGTCTTCGAATCCGATAACTAAAATCACGGATACAACATTTCAAGGTATTACTGGGCTAACAGAACTAAATATGATCAACACCAGTATCTCTACTATATACGATAAAAGCTTCTCCAGTTTACCGACTTTAAAATCCCTCTACATTACTATCCAAGGCACGTTCAACAGCAAAGGTATCGAGAATCACTTCTTGAAGAGATTGGGTCTACTCTACTCAACTATTACAAAGTTGGAGAAAGAAAACTTCAAAGGACTGTACACTTTGCAGGAACTTTTCTTCAATAATTCAGAAATTAAAGAAGTGGATAACTCATGCTTGGACGGCCTCTTTGCCTTAACTGATTTGGATGCAAAGACTCTTCTGAAATACTCAAGAACCATTCCAATAGGAATTTTCAAAGATTTGAAATCGCTCGTCAAATTGGATTTATCTAATATGACCTGGACCACTATATCGTACGAAGTAATGAAAGGCCTGATAAGATTGGAGGTTTTAGATCTAGCCAGAAACAACATCAGCGAAATATCGGAAAATTCTTTTCAAGATTTAACAAGTTTGTCGATATTGTATTTGTCTGGAAATCAGCTGGGAAGCATATCTTCTCAAATTTTTCAGAAACTATGGAAATTGGAGGAATTGTATATCGATAGCAATGTTCTGACGACTTTGCCGGTGGATTTATTCCAGAATACGAGCTTGAAGTACTTGAATCTAAGCTCAAATCTACTTATGTCGCTAGAGCCGGGAATATTTTCCAATCTGGACAAACTTACGACACTAGATTTATCCAAAAATCGATTTGTGACTATCCAGAGCGAAGTCTTTAAACCGCTGGTCTCGTTGGATACTTTGAATTTAGAAAACAATCTGTTGCACAGTCTTTCGTATTTCGGAAATGTTTTCAACTACACGAGCTTGCTAGATACTATTTCGCCCAGAACAATACAGCTTAATGGAAATCCCTGGGAATGTAAATCGTTGGGATTCATGCTGAATTATCTAGGATATAGAAATGTCGAATTCAAATACCCCGCCAGCGCGCTCTATAATACCGACAACATCGTTGGAATCAATTGCTCGCCTGAAGAGGATATGAACGAACTCACTGAAGTACTTCAGTTAACAATACTATAAAAACACGTTAGTGGCCCTAGGGATAATATTGTTAAAATTATTTATTATCAATTTTTGGAATCAAACAAATGTTTTAACTTGAAATAAAAATTTTAATGAGCGTAGACATTTTTATTATTTAGCACGCTACAAAACAATGTTAAGGTTTGACCTTTTTGAAGATCAAATCCGATCTACAGTTAGGGAGGTAGTTTCCAAAGTTTACCAAGAGGCTTATATTAATTTCCGTAATATCTATAAACGTAAAGACATTCTGAACTTTAAGTTAAAAAGAAACTCTCTGTGAACTCTGTGAAGAACTAGTTGTGAGTCATCTAAACTACTGCAATTTTGTCTAAGTAGTCTCCTTGGATGGTTTGACTAAAAATATATTACAAAAAGTACATTAAAGTGTGTGATTTATTTATAACGAGATGACGTAAGTCATAAGCTGCACGTTCAAATGGTTTTTATAATATCGAGTAGAAAAGAATTACCATTTTGCTTGTTTCTTCATAAATTACGTATTGAAAAAATGAGTTGTAGAAATTGTATTTCCCTTTAAGTCATCAAGATAAAATACCCAAAATTGAAGACGATGACTAAAAACAGCTTCTCGTATACATCCATATAACGTCAGATTAGCCAACAAGAGAAAGAATATCTCCTGTTGTGCTTTTATATTCTATTTTAAAAAACATCTTCGACGGAACACTATCTTTCTTTATCATTATGTGTCTTTTATGGTTTGTTTTATATTTTTGTAATGTATGCATATATTACATGCTCTGTTAAGTTAACAGCTCAGCTTTATTTATTTAGATAATAGTATATTATGTAACAAGTGCGGTAAACGGCATTTGACTCAAGAGTTTATTTGACACGAGCGAAGTGCAGCGGAGCAAGTTTTTAATAAACGAGTGAGTTAAAAAGTTTACCGAACGTGTTGCATACTATACTTTTTCTACGACCGTTAGTTTTTGGGTACATTTTCGCAAAAAAAGAATACATTCACTGACATGACGGTCAGAATTGACAAACGTCAAAATTCAAAGCGTGGGAAATATCTCCGAAAACATCCGATTGCTCCCAAATCCGTAAGGTAAAATCCCGGAAATGTCCGAAGTGGCTCGGAATCATGGGAACCGAAACTAACGTGGTAAAGTACGGTAGTAGAAAAACATATTTATTGATGCTAGTAATCACATTTAAACAGGTCGGGAAGCAATGAATATCAAATTTAATATATATAATTTTATACTCCTATATTTAAAATTAGATAAACAATTAAAACATACATAAAAGAATAAAACATTAAAAATCATTAAGAAAATCAGACATCTGCATTTAAATAGTATATTATGCAACAAGTGTTCAATAAACGAGTGACTTATTTTAAAGTAAATTATGACCTAAAAGTCCAATCAACCAATAAATGGAACAAGCAACTCCTCTTAGATCCCAAATAATATTTTTTCATCGCTTAGGAATTGAATAAGAGTGGTAATTAGACGTAGGTTATTCAACTCCTTCTTTTTGGGCGAATTTTGCAAAGCATAAATCATTTTGGAGTAATTTCTGGACCCTGAGGCGATTAAAATTTAAGTCTCTGAGGGCACTATATTTAAAAATGGTGGCCAGATCAATATCTAATCTAGTTACGAACAACTTAATGTTTAACTAGTAGAGATATTATATTCGAATAATTCTTAAGTGGAAATTCCAATAAATGTTACGGTGGAAATTTGAGTCAGCATTGTGTAGAAACCTAATTATCACGATGAATTGCTTTAAAAATGAACATACAAAACGGATATCGGTATTAGGGCGGCATCAATATCGGCGTATTGAAGATGCTCATAGACTGTAATTGTTTAACTGAATTAAAAGTACTATTAACGAGTTTTCAAGTCTTTAATTACGGACGTCAAACAAAGAGAATGTTCAAATTCAATTTTATGTTTCATATGTTCCTAATGACGCATCCAACCAACAAAACTGTTCTAATTCGTTATTATCCAAGGTACTCGCACGAATCGAAGGTTTCTTTTATTTGGAATATGATAAAATAACATCGATAAGTATTCGTGTGAAGACCCACCTTAGTACGTGATACCGTAAAAGCAACGTTTTTAAATCGTGACAAATCGCGGAGATAAGGTGTTATCAGTAGAAGCAACCAACAAGCATTTAGTTTTGGTTAGTTTAACGTTGATATCTACCAATACGATTTTATTCCAAAAATATACATTACGCGTTAATATAAGTCTACGAGAAAAAATGACAAAAATTGTGTATTTTTGTGGAGCTTTTGTGGCATTGACACTACTAAACCCAGGTATGAGGGCCAGATAATCGTGCTTCAAATATTTAATATAATAAAATATACAAATATACCTATAGAAAATATGGGACAATTCTATACTGAACGGCTTCTCGTGCAGACGACTTTCAATTTGGTTGCAGACACAAATTCTGTTAATTCTAAATCATAACACTAATACCACAATATCAGTTGATTAGCAATGCTTAAGATGAGTTGCACGCATTATTTTAGTTCTTTTAAATCATATAACAAAGTCAGTTTATTTTAGAAAATTCTTATAATAAAAGAATTTTAAATAAGTAAAATTATTCCCGATACTAATTCAGTAAATTAATTTTTTTTTAATCGAACTTTGAAACTGAGATTTTTGAAAAGTCGCGATTAGTCTACTACTATTATTGTCATTTTTTTTTTTCAAAGAAACTTGTAACAATTTGAGGCTTTCCATCCACATAATCACAGCAGTTAGTGTGACATTTTTGTTTGAAACTTGGTAAACAGGGTCCATACAAATGGGCAGTCATTTGTAGAAAAAACAGCATAATCAAATAAGGAAAATTTGCTTTTGCTTTTTTAAACAGTGAAACTAGATACAATCAGTTTTTTAAATATAACAATTAATTTGACCAACGCTGTATATTGTTTCAAAAGAATTACATTGATTGAGAGTAGACAAAATCATATTATCAGAAATTCCGTTTTTTTTATTTTGTACAAAAAAGCTGGAAAAAATAATGGTTTCAATTTAAATTTTAGTTCATGGACTTGAGTGCTTCGAATGTGTAGCTGAATCCGGACAGGGATCGCCATGTGAATCGAAACCTGATAATTCAACCCGTCAAGAATGCGCAATAGGACTGTCGTGTCTAAAATTCATTCAACGGAGTGAGTATGACACGTATATTTTGAAAAGAAGAAGTTCTACGATGAATGAGAAAAATGTAGTAGTCATATATTATTTTCTAAGAAATATAAGTAGGTGTAGGTGTGTATTCATCTAAAAATATTTACATATAAAAAGTAATTCTCTTCTTCTTTTAAATAAGAAATGATGAAAACACAAACACCTATTTAGATAGTCCAACACAGTGGCGATTTCGCCTTAATTTTACATAATTTTATGTTTTCCGAAGATTTGATTTGATTTGGTGATTCGACGATAGGTCAGAGTCAACTGTTGCCAAACCAGAAAACTTTTAAGATCTCAGATTCTTTTTTAAATTTAAAATTGTTTTTGGTACAATAATTTCCTATTTTTACATTTAACCAATTACTGTACCCAGTTCATCCACATTCCCGACTGATATTAATGGTCAATATTATGCACACTCTACGGACATACACCAAATAATTCTCTAAACAATAACTAACCACAACTAAACTATGGTTAACTGTATCCTGAATTATGTCCCAAAAATTCAAACAGAAAATTATCTACTGGTATTGGCCACGACTGCCAGTAATAGCATTAATTAGTTTGAATTTGTTGTTCCACTTCTTAATTTTAGATTGCCTGCATATTACCGCACTCGCAAGTGTTCTAGTTTAGTTTAGTTTTTCATAAATTCCATAAATTCTATTTCGTATTCTATTTCGTATTTTCTCGTGCTACCAAATGGTGTACATTTTTCTCTTTTTAGTGATATTTCGCGATTACTACTAGTAGTTTGATGAAATGTGAAATTCAACCACCTTACAACCGGTCTTTTTTTTTACAGTCGGCGATCAAACCACAATATACCGTCGATGCTCGCCCTACAATTTTTGCGAAGTCCAGAAATCCGTGGCGAACGGATTAAACGAAGCAAACGCAACCAGTAGTTCGTCCGTCGATCAAATGGTCATTAAAGCCTGCGAAATATGTAACAGCACCTTGTGCAATTCTGTGTCGCTGCCATCCGTGAACTGGTGTTACGTATCCATATTTGTGACACTAGTGCACTTATCGGGCAGTTTAATTTATTGATTTGTATTTTTTATTGTATTGTATTTTTTTTAAGAATTGTTTGTATTTCGTCGTTTATTGTCGAGCAACAAAATGGACAGTCTGTACATATATTTTGTACGTGATGAAAGTATGTTAAGCACACATTTCATCTAAATAAAGTAATTTTTTAACATATTTGTGGTACCAACTCTTCATAATCAATGAAGCAGGCAAATATGTCCTTGCGCTGCGCTCGGTATTTTTACAGCAACGGTAAAGGAGAACAGGGCTTGCCAAGTCCAAAATTCGTACCTGAAGCCAAACTGCCTCTGATTAAAGTGGAGCTCACATTTAGCTCTTGTCCTGGCATGTAAGGTCTTTAGCAGGTGGCTTATGATACTAATTTGTCTGTAATCTTCACACTTTTTTGGATTTTTTGCCCGATTTTGTTGAAATTTTTAAAGATAAACCGCCAATTTTGCTTTAAGGTTTCCCCATGCGACTGACATTTTTCAATTTTTGTTTTTTAATTTGAATAAGCAGCTAAAAGTACAACTTTTTGAACTAAGTTTTTTCTCATATCTTGCTTCGTTTTCGAGCAACAAAATAAAAACCATGAAAATTTACAAAACATATTTTTATGAAGATTTATTTCTTGAACCTTTTGATTACAATAAACCTAATTCTATAAATTTTCGCACAAGCGGTTTTTTTTTAATGATTGTATCTTGGAACGGAGCCACGTATATGCGAACTTTTTTTTGGATGGTGAATCTCCAGCTGAGCATTGTCGCATGTTTATTGAAACACACTGTATACGTAAACAACTTATATTTGAAATTCAAATTTGGAAGTTCTCTTTATTGGTTCCCAAGGGCTTTTAATCGGACTCCCAAAATGACTCACTCTATATTCCGCAAGTTCTGATTCGCTGGAATTTTTTTGCCATTTTTTTATATCATTTTATTACGGTACGTTTACAAATAACGAACAAATTGATTTAGGCACAATCGTAAACAAGCTCGAGTAAATTTACTCTTGTTGCTACACAAGCAACATTGACACATACCTCGTCACACTGTGCCAGCGCCCCAAATATTGCAGCAACATCAGCGAAATGGTCGAAATTCAGGTGGTGCGCTATGTAATATTTTCGCTGCTTCTGTCCCTAGGTATTTCATTTAATTTAAATCTCTGCGAATTGTCTTCGACAAGATATTAAGTAACGCTGATTTTCAGGACACACTTTGGAGTGCTACACGTGCAGCGGTCAACTCGGTATACCAAATATGGTTAGCGATTGCGAACAATTTTCACGGCATGATGATCACAAAAAGTCAATATGTCTGCCTGGAGAACAAGTTTGCGCCAAATATATAGTACACCGTAAGTAACTAAAACAATGTCATCTTGTTCACCTTCTGGACCATTAATTGGTACTAATATTTTGCAAAATTTGAAAAAATCTTTTGTCGGAACCAAAAATCCTTGACAGTCAAATTACGCCGTTTATTGTGTGTGATTTTTGTCTTTACTAAGAAATTACTATCTATTATTTTGCATTTACTAGCTTTTCGTCTTCATTGGTTTTTTCTTCCATGGTGTTTTATGGTAGCAGGTACTTGAAACCTCTCATAATATCACCAAGATGCTGACGTTTCACCACTCATTATGTTGGTTTCTTCAGAAGTTTCAGTTGAGGCCCGCAGAAAACAACAGGATGATTGGCGAAATGTCAGCAAGTAGGATTTATAAATAACAGACGCAAGAACAATACAGAAGATTTGTAAATAGTATTAAGTACTTCTTCTCATTTTCCTATTTTATTTAGAAGCTTCACATTTGATACTCCTTGATTTAAAAAGCTACTTTGTAATGAAATTGGTAAAGTGGTAAAAGCGGCTATTTGGTATTGCTGAAATCTAATATAACCAAATGAACCAGTTGAAAATGGTTTCGGAATAACAAAACTTGTAGCATTGAACTCAGGTGGCTTTTACTTGATGAAAAGCCATTTATCAAAATAAATAAGAACTAACGGTGTTGTCGAAACAATTGTCATGTCAAAATATATAATTTCGTGAAAATCTGGACTTTTAGTTCTTTTTTATTTTGAAAACTTGTAGCCTTATTAACTTAAATCTACATTTTTGATGAGTTTTTGTATCATCGGCCTTTCTGAAATCTTTTGCTTAGATAGATCCATGAATCCGTAATTTTACAACTGGAATAATTTAAATGCTATGTTCTAATCTAGATGATGGAATGAGGTGGGTTCACCGATCATGTAAGCCATTTGACATTTGCACGGTCCTTAAAAATGTCTACAACAACGGAAGAGATCAGCTGATCGAATGCACCACGTGCTCTGATAGAAATTTGTGCAACTCGGCCGACATTTTGTATCGATATTTGTATATTTATATGACGCTTATAGCATTAATATTGGTGCAAAATATGTAAAAATAAATCTTTTTAGTATCGTGTTCATATAATGTATTTTCCTCTTCTAATTTGCATCCCTCTGTGTCACCAGGTGAGTCACTTTATGTCAATGTCCATAGGAAAAGGAGGTTAGGAAACAAAGTTACGGGAAACTGGTCCCGTGTTATTAATTATCATTTTCGTATGGAGTATTTTGCGAAATAAGGAAAGATTCTCAGTAATGTTTGGTCTCTCATTCCTACGAATAATGACTATTTAATTCAATCCATCCAATTTGCAGCCTATTGGATGTAAGCACTAGCAGTCCATTATATGGGAACATTGAATTTAAGCGGCAGAAGTTAAGTAGTTAAGCAGCGTTGCCTCTGATTTTCTGTGTTCAAATTGCAATAGTAGGAATTTCTTTTTTTTTTTGGTAAAATATGGAGCTTTTATATAGCTACACATAGAATCGATCTGCGTTGTAAGTGCTCGTAGATATTTTATTATGACCTCATTTCAAGTAGCATAATACTTCAAACTGATTTGACCGGTCTGTTCATTCGTTCACGCTCGGCTGTTATTTTCCAATATTTGCCAGTATTTAGTACCGATAATGCTGATCAACAAGTCAAACTTTTCCTCCATAATTCTCGAACACACGCCAGTTTTATTTGAAAGCGAAAAGTCTTAGGCAATAGCAAAATAAAAAAAATAATTTTTCAAAACTGCTGGAACTTCAATGCTGAGCATCTATACTCTGTAATAAACTGTATTTATAAAAATCAATACTACACCGCAAGGTTACTAATATACAAATATTTATTTAAGTGACTATATGGTATAATAAAATCATAAAAGTCGTACTAGCATGCCTAACCCTAGTGCTAGAGTTACACAAATGGAACTAATGTCTTTTGCAGAATTGCACAGATCTGAACTACAAGTGGTGCAAGTGTGCTGTCCGGGTAATATTTCATTTCTACTTCTCAACTGGTTGAATATGTCTTCACAGGTGGCACCGTATTTTAACGCCTGACATCCTCTAGTGATATGGTTGATGGTGGGCGTGCCGGGTATGACGGCTAAAACATAAAACCGTTGTATTGAAATATGAGTTGCATTCGATATAAAGTTCACTTTGATAGTGATATGCTGCGCACACAGACGGTCCAATACAATGAACTCTGCGCATCTGCGTCTCATCCCCACTCAAGCAAGGACTCGAATCTCCGGGCCCCAATCTCGCAATACATTCGTAGCATCGTATGGAATTCCCTGCAATGTAAATTAAAAATTCAGACCACTTTTCACATACAAGAGAAGCAATTCTCGATGAAAAATTATTAATATTCCTTTTAGGGGACAGTGAGTTATAAGGTACTATTACGTAATGTCAAAAACAGAGCGAAAAATAGCTAATATAAAAATATGGCTAAGTAAATCGGCTCTATATAACGACAGACCAAAAACAATCACAGACACCTCAAAACCATCGTCAAAGTTATGCTTTCCTCTTACATTAAATTTCGTTAAAGAGGCTTTTTTGTGCTCGCTACTGTATAATATGCTATTAATAAAGTATCACTGTAAACAGATTCGTGAATAAGTGTCGTTTATCAAAATTGATGCATGATAATATAAAATCTGAGTTAAATTACAAAAAAATACACTATAAACACGATTTTTTAAAGCAAGTTTATAAAACTTGATGAATATTATGTCCAGTCACGTATTATTGTGAGAGAAAACCGTTGAAATTTAATCTAGGAAAAGCAAAGCCATCTGACAGAAGTAAATTCTGCATCAGAATAGTCTGACAGCAATATAGAGGATGCCGCTTTTTAAAAAACGAAGTTTTCCAGCTGTGAAAGTGAGATAATTTATTCCAATGTGAATTTTAATATTCACGATATCTAAGAAACTATTGGAAATAACCTAAAATTTTATACCAGAATTGTATTAAAAATTTATATTAAAAATTTAAAATAACAGAAATTTATGCTGTGAGAGACTTATGAAGACGCCCTGTATAATAGCAATTATTTTCATTCCATGCAGCGCTTACACAGAAACAATATTTGTAATTCAGATTGAGATTAAAATTATTTTCCTGCTAAGCAATTGTACGGAATATCAATAAAATATAAGGTGCAGTCTAAGGAAAAAACAGAATACGAAGTACCTATATCTGTCGCACTTAGAAAAACCAAGGTACAAACAATAGATCCTATACTAGCTGCTCCCATAATGCAATGTCAAAAGCTCACACAATGCACATGCCACTCGAGGAACTGACACTTTTCAATACGATCGGATCGGCAATATAACAACCACAAAAACATAGTAAACATACACCAGAAACTGCTGACCTAGTTTGGCTTCGGTTTTCAAACCCCATAAAATATGTCGTCCGAATTGTAAAATTCGTCATTCACAGTTTACCGGAGATCATTTCTCATATACAGCTCGTCGTCATTCTATAAGAGAAGGAAGGCACAGCGTTTCGAGATAACAATTTTGCCGCGAAAGAGTGAAAAAATTATCATATTTTCCTATAATGTCATCTCTAAAAATAAAAGATTTTATCGTAATCGCAGCGATATATTTTGTTTTTTTTTTTTTGACAGAAACTGACTGAAATAATCAATAATCAATTTTGACATATTTAAAAAGTCCACTCGGTAGATCCTACCGAAAATTTACTTGCCACTTTGAATAACGGCTCATAAAAATGTTGCTCATAATAAACAAAATAGGAAATTGCCAAGGTTTTACTAAGAGCAATATATACGAATACGATACGAAACATGATAAGATGACCTACTAAAAAACAAAGTGTTTTTGGTGTAGAAGTTTTGTTGGCAGAGCTTTTTTCTATTAACGGCAATTCGTAAAAATATAAAAAAGAATATCTTTAACAAAATGTATGTAACTTGTTTGATAATAAAATTACGATGTGAATCCTTAAATTTGTATCGTAAACCTCTTAACTTTTAAGTGCGGTTACACATTTTTAATAAAAATATCGTTTCACAGATTTAACACACGAAATTTGAAGCAGTCATTTTTCTAACGACGAATTTATAAAAATGTAATATATAGACATACCACTGGTGTTTACTAAAATAAATATGTATTTCATATTCTTTCTAACGCAAATATGATGTCCTTACACGTTATCGATTCCGTTGGAGATTATGAAAATGTAGTCAACATATTGTGTTAGAAGATCTATTTAATTATAGCATGCGCTTCAGACCATATTCGCTATCACAGGAGGAGGGAAACATTGAGATCTGGGATGTCTAAGCATGTTTGGTCGAATCAACACAGACCACTTCGTTGGAAGAAGTACAAATTTAAAACAGTTGTTTTGATAGCAAATAGACTACGTGGTTGGAAAGAAAATGACTAAATATTACTTATTACTTAAGTGCAGAAAAATTCAGACTCTTATACCGACAATATACCGAAAATACGGGACAAACATCTGAGGAACAAAATAAATAGTTTCATAGCAGTATCGAGAAAAAAGATTATTGTCGAAGGACAGAGATATTTGTTTTAAGAATTGAAAGGTGAATAAATCCGTTATCAATAAGTGGTTTAATCTTAAATCTATCGCGTATAAATAGAGAATCTTTAGGCTTAAGCATACTCAGCAAAATGTTTTACCTTTCGATTATTAGCGTTTCCTTAGGCGTTTTAATCATTGGTAAGATTTTTTTTTTTCGTTTAAATATAAATCTTCAATATTGTCGGCAATGGTTATTAATTTCGTAGGTAGTACGGCCCAAAATGAGAAGCTCAAATGTTATTCCTGCAATCCTTCCCTTAACAAAGCCGATTGTGATACACCTGGGAATAGCAGTTTGAAGTTAACCAGCTGTAGCGAGCAACCACTTAATCAGGGATACGAATTTGTGTGCCTGGCGGGATTCTTAAATTTTTCAAGTGAGAAAAACATATATTCTAATGAGACTTGATCTTCAATTGAGTTTTCCATAATATGAACAACTATTTTAAGTAAATAACATTTTTACTATAAATTTAAATTGACATCATAGATATTCATTTTTACTACCATTTTGGATATCCGTGCTATCAACATAATAGCTTTTTGATTGCTGAAAAATCCACAATGAAATTAGTTGGAACCAATTTACGTAGTTGCCCTGACATTTTGTGAGTTTTTGCTCAATTGTCAATTGTGAGAAATATTTAATGGTACTCTTGAATTCGAATGCAGTGGCGTCTTTGGATAAATTGGATAAACGCCTTAGTCACGAGTTCAATTTAGAGCGAGCGAAGCTAGCCGTGAAATTTTTTAATACATTTATACCCTTGTTCTAGTACTTTTTAAAAGCATGAAAGTTCTAAAAACTATAGTTTGGGGTTAAAATATTTTGAATTTTGTTTGAATTTATTCTTAGAAGACCCTTCCTTTAAGGAAATGCTCCATTGTTTGTTTTTTTTATTGGGAATTGTCAAAAGGCCGAATTCATTACGGTATTTTATATTGCTATTTGAACATTCGATTTTTTACATGCGCTCTGTGGTCATTTGTTAATTCAAGAATTTAGTTTTGTTTGTTTTCTACGGTTAGGTGTGTTATTTCAGGCTCAAATATGCTGACAGGAGTGTACAGAACATGCGGACAAAAACCAACCAAATCCGACTTCTGTTCGGTATGGGAGAAATCACAAACCCAAGCTGTAACCGTGAAGTCTTGTAGAACTTGTACTAGCGATGGTTGCAACGCAGATTTGTTTAAAGCAGATGGGACTTTTGTTAATAGCCAAGGCTTAAATGTAGCCCAAGGGGTCGTCATTCTTCTATCAGCTAGTGTCCTGTGGGCTTTAACTTAGAATCTTCTTTTTAGTATATTTAGTATTTATTTTGTCACATATTTTTAATTTTGAATAAACCAGAACCACCCACTTCCAATTTGTTTTTTTGTAATATAATACCTAGGTATTGTACGACCAAAAATATAGGTCATTTTAAGTATTTTACCGCATCCCAACAGATATTTATTCTGCATTCAGTAGGTCTTGCCTGAGATGGACCCCAACGAATATTTGTAGAAACAACCTCAACAAAAATTTTTTTGAATACTTACAATTTTATAAGAAATTCAGAGGGGGATGTAGGAGCAGCAATAAAAACAAGTGATAACGTAATAAATTGTTACTTTGTACTAATTTTTTTATGTATTTGTTTCAGGATTTGCTAAAGATTGAAAACATACTTATATCTCGCTCAGTAGTGTAGGTAGGTAGGTAGGTGTTCTATATGGGGCTGCGGTTTTGGAGTAATAAAGCAAAGTTAATGACGGGGTCGGTTGTAATAGCATTATAATTCTGGTGGAAGTATACTAAAATATGTTAATAAATATAACTTCCTGACATTTCGCCAATCATCCTTATTTTTATTAAATTATTTAATTCAATAATTAATTTAATTAAACTATGAGGATTTTTAAGAAACTTCCACAGGCTACTGTAACATTAACTGTAATACTGTAACCAACGCAGGAGGAAACGAGAATATTTGTAAATAGTATTACATATAGTATTGGTATTACATGGGAGTTTGTTTGAAAAAATAAAATATTATAAATTCATTTTTAAAATTAATTTATAAAATTAACATTTAATTTTAATTTAGAATGATAATATGTATGTCCTGTATTATTACAGGTTGACGACCACATCTCCAAATTCATATCTGCGTTTGGTATCGTTAATTCCACTTTTTCTTTCAATTTTGCGCCCGAGCATTAACAGTTTGATATTGCATTTTTTATTTCTAGAAATGTGACAAAGGTATGCTGTTTTCCTTTTCTTCGTCGTTTTCGCTTTACCCAAAATATATGTTACTTTCGGAAATACGGCACCTGCTTTAATCAATATTTTGAGATTTAGAATTTAAGGCTCACGGTAATAGTACGTACTAACAAAAAAAAGTTTTATTGATTGATTGATTTTAGAATGAGATACATCAATATCGATTATTGAAACTGGTCGATCTGGAGTACCTATTTTCAATTACACGAATGGATATGTTATAGTTGAACTGTTGATTTAATCTGGGTATAAACAGGCCAATTGTTTATTTATTTATATTTAATTAAAAAAAAATCAATGCTAACTATTAACAAGTAAATAGTTTAATTAAACATTGATAGACATATTCTTGATCTGGCGAACTTTTCCATTTGTCATTTATGTTTTTCGAGAGAATCGAAGTCATCTCGGGTTATAAATAATCTCGATATCAAATGATTAAGACGCCGGATGGTAAAAAAAATGTAAATAAATTTTATAACTAGCAGCCGTCGTTATCAGAATCCACGGGAAAATCATATCGCAACGTAGCGTCATACAAAATGTGGCTTGGTGTAGAAATAATTCTATTTGGAGTCTTTTCCGTAGGTAATACACACGAACGCAACATTTTGTTTAATACATTTTATTATTAGTTGCTAAAAATATAAATAAATGTTTCAGGATTAGGCCAACAATCGCCCAACACTACGCAACTGTCGTGTTTCCATTGCAACCCTCTCAATCAGAGTGCAGCCTGTGTGAATCCGATAAGCAATTTTTTAGGGGCAACCAATTGTACCACTTTATTGGCAGGAAATGCAACAGCGCACTGCTTTTCAGCTTATATAAATTATACTAGTGAGTTAAACTTTCCTGAGAACTTTAATGACAGTAAAGATTACGCTTGACCACTTCCAATGCGTGAGGGTTAAAATCAGGGCTGAATTAAACTTACTTTAAGTGTGATCCAAGTGCTAGATCCAAGTTTAGAATTGGACAATTTGGCGGCAGTGACTATAATGCCTTTCATTTAACAAGTTTCCTTTGTGTTTACTGTCTATTATAACAAATTATTGTAATATAAATAAAACATAATTTGCATGACCACACCAAGACAAGCGCTAAGTTATACTCATACAGAGCTAAGATGGGCAGATAATAAAATTTTAAAAGCCACCTTCTTAGTTTAATGGATTGTTTAACACAGAACAAATTTATTATATCTAACAGTTGGTATCATTCTTGTCGCTCATTCACATCAAGTAATCAAAAATACAGAAGTATCAGTATATTCGCTTTGTGTTAATTGATAATCGAACTAATATTGAAACATACTACACGATGACATAAAGTAACAAAAGAACGAATCACCTGACAACGGTACATACTGTGCACAGGGACAAAATTTCTATGAAACAAAATTTCTATGAAATTTTGGTCAAGGATTTGGTCAGCAACTTAGAACGATGACCCTTGTCAAATATCAAAAATACGACGCCATCATGCTCTTTCATTTAAATAAAGACCTCTATATTCTTATTTCTATAGCCAAATATCAGGTTTTGAACACGTTTATCTAAAAAAATGTTTTTTTAGCGGATATCATCATACAATTTTGTTTTAATTTGACTATAGTAAATAAGTTACTGATTCGGCTTCCTCGTCCAAAATTACGTAGGTGACTTTAAAACTGAAATGAGCTACTTAAAACAATGTCTTTGAAACGTAGACTCTCTTCCATCTCTCTCTATCTGTTACTTTTTCAGGGGGTATTTCGAAAATGTGCAATTTTTAAATGTTGCTATAACATTTTACGTAGGAATCAGATGTTATCAAGAGAGAAATCGATTGTCTTACTTACCTTTGTAGAGTTTTCTTTAAAAAAAATACAAATCTTGACCTTTCAACATGCAGGCTTTAGACGGTGATATAGATAACAAATATTGTTGGTAGTTGTAAAAATGATTTTAATGAAAATGTTACCGAATACGCGATTTCCCATGGACTTTTTGAAATTTATTTGATAAAGATTAAACTAAAGCCAAAATCACGATTTGGCAACTACCAGTCCGCTTTTTTTACGATTCTTATTTGCAGTTATTTTAAGTTCTTTTTAATGTGTTCATTACCCATGGTGTCCCTAAAAAACGTTTTAACCATTAAATTCGATATAAAAATTTGGGGAAGCGTTTTCAGTGTTTAGTTACAGCAATTCTTAAAAAACGCACATTTTCTGTGTTTCTGTGTTACTGTTGTTTATGAAAATCAGTCAATAAATTTGGCCCGCCCTGTACTTCGTTTTGTAATCGGCTGTTTTCAAGTAACTAAACTGACAATTTTAAGTCGATTTGGACAACAATTTTTGTACACTCTTTTTAGGTATAACGTACAGATCGGGCGTATACAGAAGCTGTACGAATGTTTCCAATTACTGCAACTGGCTCCAGCAGGAATCCATAAAGGAAAACGCCACATTCAATTGCGTAATGTGCAACTCTTCCGCTTGTAACTCTCACCTTATTAACACCTCTAGCGGCAAGTATCTTAAATGGAAACAAATGAAAAGAGTATAGCATGACAAATTTTAGTGGCCTATCCTCCCCCACAGGCGCCCAATCCAGAGCCGTCTCAACCGCCGAATTCGCCTGGAAATACCAGCCGCATGTATCTGTCCTGCTATTACTGCAACCCTGGAAGTCAAAAGTCGCAATGCGCTAGACCGTCGCTAAACAACGTCGCAATAGTTAATTGCGCTTCAGTAGCCCCAAGCCTTTATTCCAATATGACTTGCTACTCAGCATATGTGGATTACAATAGTGAGTATATAGAGCAACCTGTAAACTGTAACAAAACAACAAAAAAATAATTGAAATATGGAATTTATTTTATCCACTATCTCCATGATTTTGCAAATCTGAAACTCCATTTCTGTTTTAAATTTCAACCAGGTGGCACTTTATCTTCAATATTTTTTTCTAGGAAGACTGACCTTATTCACCATCCCCGTTTTTTTTGAAACTGCACTTTTTGAAAAGTTTATCAATAATTTTTTTACATGAAGGATCATTTTATCCAGTGTTTTCGTGCTTTTAGCAGAAGTGTTCAATATGTGCGATTTTTATTACACAGAATAAATTTTAACCACTGCTAAATGGTGTGCATAAAAGTAAACAAGAAATTCCGGTAATTTTTGATATTTTCCCAACCTATTGAGATAGTAATTTTAAAATATTGTATAGTTATTGGATATTTTTTAAATTTTCGCTTTGATTTTAAATCTCGCAGGGATCTTCAAGTAGAGTTTTGGTTTTAGTTTTCAAATATTCATTTTTTTTTTCATGGATGGCGGCTAATGTCGACCAATAAGTATATGAAATTAAAATTACTGACAGTCAAAAAAATCAGATAAACACCAACAAATATAAAATTTTGGAAACAAAAACAAAAACTAGTAAAGATATTCCAAATCACTTAAAGCTTTGAAAAATGAATATTTTTCTTTCAGAAGCTAGTGACGATATAAAACGTCACCCGAATTTGGCTTCTACTTTTAATACATAAAATTTAGTGGTATAGGTAAAATACGAAAAATAAATGGACGGAACAAGTGGAGCGTGTGATTTTCCGCCCTGTGTAAACGGTAAAATGACACAGTTTTGCTATCCAAAGTCTCAATATTTTCAGTATTTGTAATGCTGCAGAATTCTACCGCCACCTCAATCTCAATGTTCCCTGGTTTTCTTAAATAGATTTCCTTTATAAATGAGTGCAAGCATGTGTAAACTCTCCAGCTCTCGCATAGTTCTTTGCACTTTTAGCCCAATCTTCATTCGAGAGTCGCTTTCTTTAAATTCGACTACTATTAGCCACCATATTTTAGTAAAAACCATTGCCGTAACGGACAGATAATAGCATAGGCCTCCTAGTCACAATCAGAGGACAGCTTTAAATCGAACTTAAAGCACACATTACGGAGAATTTGTTTTTAGACCTACCTGGCAGATCAAGTGACACTGGCATATACAGAGGATGCGGAGTTGTACCAACATACGGAAGTTACTGCCAATGGTTGAATTCATATCTAAGCCCGGCCAGAGTAATATCCTGCAATAATTGTAGTAGCGGCACTTGTAACAACCACAGATTCTCCAGCTCCGGGAATATCACCGGAGGAGCGTCATCGATAACCGTCAGCGTTTTTGGAATGCTTCTAATCATTACTATGTTATTCGCATCCTAGTCAAAACGTTTTTGATTGCGTTGTACTTACCGTTCCACCAGTAGACGGTTTTTTATATTAAGTTATTTAGTTGACCGACATACTGGTACTCATAAAAATCCGTTTGTTAATAAAATTTTAGCAAATAACAGACTTTATGACGTCACTGTTTTCTACAGTAATAATTAATTTTTGATGTTTAGGTACCTTTGAAAATGTATATTAACAATATAGAATAACAAAAAGAACCGCTAAATATAGGTCTGTATAATATGCCTAGAAAAAGTAATGGGGACTTTCGTTATAACTGGAATATTAGCCTTGCAAATTACAATTAGAATTACTTTTATTTCCGTAGCACAATACAATGTGTGGAAAAAGTTAAAAAAAACAAAAGAATAACAACAACGATACTATATAACACGTAACTTATAATATATAAAGAGAAGTAAACAATATCTCGTTTCGACAAACGATCCTTAGAGATACTTTACTTCAATAGGCAATAGATTACAATTTTTTTATCCAAATTGAATCAGTAGATTTTTTTCCCCGGTCTAGATGAGTAAGAGAGGTCACTAAGGTTCCCGCAATGTTTTATATAAATCGGTGTTTGACGCAATTTTGTTGTTATTAGGATTGGAAACCCCATAGAATGAAATGTTAAAGGTGTGTGTGAAATTATAACGTTAGTAATTATTTACATCCTACAGGAATATAGACATTGAACAAAAATTCAGTACATTTATTGACATACCCATAAGCGAAATTTACTGTGCTTTTCCCCTCAAGAATAAAATACATAAAAATAACAAATTAAATATTGAATGGTATACCGACGAATTACGAGAGATGCGGGATCAGCTAAACTTTCTCCAGGATATCAAAAAGCAAAATCCTAAATTTTCCGATATCGAAAATATAATAAAATCTCATAGGGCTCCTTACAGTTCGAAAACAAAATTAAGTAAAAAGTCTGCTAACTGCTAACTCTTAACTCTCCAGCATAGGAGGTCATCAATAGGAAACGCAAGAATGGATGAAATATTTTTCAAACATAGCAAATAAATTAACTTCAAATTTTGCTCCTATTTACTATTCAACTGAGTCTATGAGGGCGCATACGGATTAGCGTTTTTCTTTCCGTGAAGTAGGAGACATCCTGACCAGTTTTAAGTGTAATGATAGTAAAGACATATATTATATAAATATTATCCAATTCATTAAAGACTTAATAATTATTCCATTGACTAAGCTGACGAACAGGTGTATATCCGAGGGTATTTTTCCCAATTCCTTGAAGTTGTCCAGAGTAACTCCAGTTTTCAAGAAGGGCGATGTAAATGATATAAATAATTATCGTTCAATATCTATCATCTCCACAATCTGTAAAATTATTGAAAAGATTCTATATTCTCAATTAGCAGCTTACTTCGAGGATAACCGTTTGTTGTGGTTTCGTGCTAACAAACTTAACCTCAATGAATCAAAAGCACAACAAATTATATTTTCTTTATTCGAGTCAACATTCAACAATCCATTACATGTGTCTGTGGGTTCTGCTTGATCCGAAATTGATGTTCGAGCAGCATATTATTGGTCTTTGTGAGAAGCTCTCCAGGGCGGTGTACTTGTTGCGCGGTTTGGTCGGAGAGGTCTCGCAAAGTATAGTCAGAATGCTATATTTTTCACTCTTCCAGGGATTATTTAGCTACGCAATTTTGGTTTGGGGTCACTCCTCACATACCGAAAGAGTTTTTTCGATACAGAGGCGAGCCATCAGGGCGATGACGCAGTTGAATTTTAGTGATGACGTAAGACCAAAGATCTCCAATTATTAACTGTTCCAAGTTATTATATCTGTTCGGCATTAAAGTATACTAAAAGCAACCAGGATCAATATCCCCTTCATATTAATGTTTGCCACCATCTCACCAGAAACAGAAATGATATGTTGATTAACTACTCAAGAATTGCAAAGACTAGAAATTATAAAAACTATTATGGACCTAAATTCTTCAATCTAGTGTCTCTAAGCATCAGAGAGCTGCTGGAGAGACAATTCTCTAATAAGGACAAATCACTGCTGCTGGATGGGGCTTATTACTCATTTGATGCCTTTTTTACCAATTTTAATAAGGGTTAGCGTTTTTTGTGTTATTTCGCGATGCCTTTGTAATTATACATATACTTAGATTTTGCTCAATGTTTTTGCTGACTTGTATAAAACTGTAGTTAACATCAATAAATTATTATTATTGTTATTATTATTTAAAAAAAAAAATAAACATAAGATTTTTTGGAGCACCTTGCATGGATTTTTTGGAAAATTAATGCTTACGTATCTTATCTGATAATGATTCGACGTAATTCCAAAACCGGATCCAAAGATTAAAGAAACCAGCCCATCTCGCATGGAACACGGCGTACAGTGGTCCGAAATGATGATTTTGATGATTTTTTTTTTTAAATACTCTTAAGATCCGTACTGATACAATGTTGAATTAATGGATATATAACCTCAAAAGTTGACGAAACTGACTTGTACAAGTTGGAATAAATTATAAATTATAAAAAAATGATCACGGTTTAATTTCGGATTGTTTAACTAAGGAAAAAGCTTTAAGAGATATTCAGCGGGTTGAAATATGAGTCCAATAACTTAGGGAAATTCAGTGCAGAAATGATATAAGCTAATATCACACTAAGATACCTAATACAGATGACCTAATTCAGATACTTCAAAAAATTACGAAGCTGTATGTTCTGCGATGATTTCGATAAGAAATTATAGCTTATCACAAAGCCCAAGTTGCGGCGATGTGATCAACATAATTTCAGAATTAAGGATTGAGAAAATTATTACCGAAAAATTTTCCTACCTCAATAAGACATACTTAGTCACTTAGTGGTGAACATTTTTTTCATAACGTATTATTCATTGCAACTTGTAATGGAAACTTGATTTGTCAGTTTCCTCAACTTTTGAGGTTATGAATCTTCAAATTCAACATTGTAGCAGTCCGAGCATCCAAGCTATTTAGTTTTACTAATTTAAGCAAGCATCTATCAAATTTGGGAGAAATGGCTAATAAAATAATTAGGTTTATTATATTTATTTTATTATTTATAGTTGTACCATTTGCAAATTATCTATAGGGATAGTGAATTGCTTTTTTGCCAAACTATTCAATTCAACCAGTACCAGTTTCGCATATAAGAACAATCATATCATAGCCATATTTAACAGTACTAAAATAGAACGCTATTCAGCAGATAGTAAATATTCGAATTCTTCCCGTGTAAAATGACGCAAGAATTGCACAGAAGCATTAAACATCTAATAAACTCCATTTGGACGGTGATACGAACATCAAACCAATAAACACTTCAACTTCAGTTCGGTTTTATTTTTAGAGAAATATTTACTGCCTGCCTTGAAAATCTTAATGCCATAGTCGTACTGACAGAATTTATTTAATTTAAGTTTGCAGCAATTTTGGATTTGTTAATATTATAGCGCTACCTAATAATTCGCCACAGTCAATAAATCGATTTAGAAAAATTTGGCAGTTTAAAGAAATATTCCTTGATTTCTAATAGGCACTAGAGTAAATAGGCACTAGAGTAAATAGCAGCAAAAGCATTGTTTTATAGTAACAACCATATTAATCTCTAGCATGCACCAGATCCATTAGTTTACGAATTTAAAATTTTAACAATATAATATTCAACAAAAATTTAACATGGTAATATCAGAATATAATTCAGATTTTGTTTTTGTATTATTTATTTATGACAATGTGTCGCCCCATTTTTGAAAAAACTAATCACAGCAACTTCATATATATATATATATATATATATATATATATATATATATATATATATATATATATATATATATATATATATATATATATATATATATATATATATATATATATATATATATATATATATATATATATATATATATATATATATATATATTCTCACGTATTGATTCACGGATGGAAAAATGTGATGACACTATATTCCGGGATATCATCCGTTCGCTCGTTGAACTCCGACTGGAATCCTGCATCCGACTGGAATCCTGCAAATCTTGCATCCGACTGGAATCCTGCAGACGTTTCGCAGTGTTCGAAGTGTTTTCGGAGCGCAAGCATTGAAGATGCCAAGTGAGATTTTGGCGAAACGTCTGCAGGATTCCAGTCGGATGCAAGATTTGCAGGATTCCAGTCGGATGCAGGATTCCAGTCGGAGTTCAACGAGCGAACGGATGATATCCCGGAATATAGTGTCATCATATATATATATATATATATATATATATATATATATATATATATATATATATATATATATATATATATATATATATATATATATATATATATATATATATATATATATATATATATATATATATATATATATATATATATATATATATATATATATATATATATATATATATATATATATATATATATATATATATATATATATATATATATATATATATATATATATAAATTAATCAATGCAATCCACCTACCCTACCCTGCGCAAGTGTGTGATCTTGCGTCTTTCATAAACTATTGCTTGAAAAATTCGCAAAATTTGGAATAAAGGAGAACCCCTACAGTTGTAAATTTCTTAAATGACAACTAGAATAAAGTGTCAGCTTTGATTTCTGCTATAACGCACATCAAAAAAGTCAAAAAATTGATCGCGATGGGAACATGGATAAAAGTCAAAAGCTAAAGTCGGCTCATAATAATAATTTTTTAGAATCTGGGATGGTTGACTAGACTAGGCTGCCAACATCGTAATGTCACAATGTCACATCATTGATATTACAGAGTGAAGACAGCATACAGTCTATCTGAATTTTAAATGTACTTTTTATTGGGATTATTTTTTATAAAATTTCTGGATTCCTCCTGCTTCGGTTTTTGTTAAGTCGAACTAGCTAATGTTTCGCCAATCCGACCGACCCAGGAGAAATCCAGAAGTTTTATAAAAAGTATTATAATATTCTTTCTTATCTGTCATGGATTCATCGGATTCGGTCAAATTTCAAGCTGCCAATATTTCCATCTTTTTATGCCATACAAATATACTGGATCTCAAAAAAGCATGAAAAGGACGGAACATAGGGAATTACACAACTGATAAAAAACAAAAAGATGCCTTATGTAGAATAAAAAACTCTTCACTAACACCAAACATATATCCAATCCATTGATAGTCGGTAGAAGCCAACTTTAAAATGTTAAATGGAAACTTCCATCTGTTATTATAGATTCAGGTTTGATGGCAGGTTTTGATTTCAATAGATCACAGAAAAAAAGATTTTTGCTACTCCCGTCTTTAAAATACCTAATTACACACTGATCTAGGGTGCGGGAAGCGTCACTTTACCACGCTAGTTTCGTTTCCCACGGATCCGAGCCACTTCGGACATTTCCGGGATTGGTAGCAATCGGATGTTCTCGGAGATATTTGACAGTCATGTGAATGCATTCGTGTTTTGCAAAAATGTACGCAAAAACTAACGGTCATAGAAAAAGTATAGTATGCAACACGTTCGGTGAACTTTTTAACTCACTCGTTTATTAAACACTCGCTCCGCTCGTGTCAAATAAACTCGTGAGTCAACTGCCGTTTACCGCATTTGTTGCATAATATACCATTTTCTACTCCCGTCTGTAAAATTCCTAATTACACACCGATCTAGCGTGCGGGAAGCGCCACTTTACCACGTCAGTTTCTTTTCCCACGGATCCGAGCCACTTCGAACATTTTCGGGATTTTACCGCACGAGTTTGAGAGCAATCGCATGTTTTCGGAGATATTTCCCACGCCTTGAATTTTGACGTTTTTCAATTCTGACGGTCATGTCAGTGAATATATTCGTGTTGTTTTTAGAAAATGTATCCAAAAACTAAAGGTCGTAGAAAAAGTATAGTATGCAACAAGTTCGGTAAACTTTTTAAGTCACATGTTTATTAAACACTCGCTCCGCTGCGGTTCGCTCGTGTCAAATAAACTTGTGAGCTAAATGCCGTTTACCGCACTTGTTGCGTAATATCTTTGCATGTTTTGCATTCGACTTTAGTATTATAATATTTTCGGTCTAACATACTTTTCTAGCTCCTATTCCAAAATACACAGTTATGTACTAATTGTTTATAAAAAAATTTATAAACATGTTGCATTATTTATTGTTCCTACGACTAAGTATTAGTTTTTGGGTATATTTTTGCAAAATTATAGTGATGTACCCACCATCACTCACGTCAAAACACCATTTAATCGCTCCTCACATGTGACTAAAGCTGACGTTTTAACACTTTGTTAAAGCGAAGGTATCTTAACACTAAAGCCCATGAATTTCTTGACAAATAGAATAACTCGTTTATTTTCGATTACTTTATTCTATAATCTATAGAATCTATAATAAAAAATGGAGATTTCCATTTCAAATTTGAAAGTTGACACAATGGAGTTGGGTTCAATTTTTTTGCGAGATAATATGCACTCTCCATATTTTTGGACGCCCGGTGAATTTATTCTATTTGAGGCATCAATTAAACCAACGAAATCTTCACCGTCCGTCGTGGGCGCCACATTTAACGTATCGATCGCATCTATAATCATAAATTTACTAAGAAAATGCCAAAGTTAAAACACGCGCCCCAACTATACGTCCGAAAATAACGCGTCTCTTAACCTTTTCTCAGTACATTTCGTCCGGTTAGTTGAATCGCTCAGAATGAACTTGGACGATTGCGTATCACTATGCATCAGCGGGCTCCTTTCGCGATTAAGTTACCATATGAAAACAAACAAAGCAACGTGGTGGTATTTTTAAAACCGAATTTCATCGTTCGTTATTTTACCGGCCGACTTGTTAACGCGATTAAAACATGCAGGTGAAATCGTTCAAGCTGGGTCCGTTCCCTTACCTGATAATGGTATTACTTTTTGTCTGCGAAGGTATAACTATATCTTTTGTGTGCTTTAACTTCGCTATTCGGTGTTTTCGTGAGCGTAGAGCTAAAATTAGAAAAGTCAGTGACCTACAAGGAACTACCATATTTGTGGGATCAATAGTTTCGTATTGTTTTCAATCACAATAATTTATATTAGGTGCGGTGTGGATTAAAGTGAATCGTATTTTATTTGATAGTCCTCGTGGATAATCAGTGGGTATTTCAAATATTCGGAGAGGACACGGATAAAAATATTCGAAATGACTAAATGCTTCATCCCGTTTTCAGATTTGTTCGCAATGCAAGTTGAATGTTTACAACTGTGAAAAACGTGGTGTCCAAAAAATGTCCATATATTACTGTACATTACTGGTTGTTGTTTTTGGTCGAATTCAGTTTCTAATTCATAGTTTTTAAGTTTCTCTCAGTTTTGGATACTATTGATTTTAAATTTGTAATTATAAATTACTTTTAGATAACTAATCTAAACTTATTAAGCCAAAATGAATATAAACATATAATATATCACTGACGCAATGTATAATATATAATATTATACCTACACTTTTTTGTGGTGGTTAACCTCGGATTGGTAAGTTTTGGATTAACACATGCTACACAAACGGCACATATCTCCAAAGGAGTTTAGTAACTTGCTTATTTTGTTCCCCCCTATCAATTTGGCCCTATAATCACGAGACCATTTGTTTTTACTTGATATGTAATATTTCTTAATACGGACAAGGTGTGTTCAAAAGGTAAGGTGACTCTTGTCATTGGGCATTCGATCTTCGATTTTTTTTTTGTTATGTTGGTACACATGTCCCTAACATATGTTCACAGTTTCAGCCAGTCTACATCTCTACTGGCTCCTGCGTTGCAATTTTTTCTGAAGTTTTGGGCATGAAAGGTGTAGCAGCAAAATTTGTTCCGAAACTGTTTCATTTTGAACAAAAGGACCGTCAAAGGAGCATCGCTCAAGAACTGTTAAACGACGTCAATGATGATCCTGATATGCTCAGAAAGGTCAAAGATGGTGACGAATCACCAGTTACGACGTCGAAACCAAAGCCCAGTTGTCCCAATGGAAGAACCCAGAATCGCCAAGGCTGAAAAAAGCACGTCAAGGTTTTGCTTACTATTTTCTTTGGTTATCGTGGCGTAGTACATCAAGAATTCTTGCCACAAGGCCGTATGGTCAATAAAGAGCGTTACCTTGAAGTTATGCGCCATTTGCGAGAACCAATAACAGGAAAATGTCTGGAATTGTGGGAAAACAATTCATGGATTTTGCATGACGATAATGCACCTGCTCATTCATCGTTGCTTGTGTCTTTGTCTAATTTTTTTGCCAAAAACAAAACCCCAGCCACCATATTCACCGGATATGGCCCCTGTGACTTTTTCCTGTTCCCAAAACTCAAAAAACCCATGAAAGGAAGGAGGTTTGGAATTATTGAGGAGATAAAGAAGAAATCGCTGGAAGAACTCAAGGCTATACCAGAAAATGCTTACCACAAGTACTCCGAGGATTGGAAAAAACGTTGGCACAAGTGTATTATATTTGGGAGGGATTATTTTGAAGGAACAACATTAATTTTGATGAATAAATAAATACTTTTTGATAAAACTTCAAAGTCACCTAACTTTTTGAACGAAGAAAAACCACACCAATAAAAGAGACAACAGTTGACAAAAATTGTTCATTTTTCTTTCTTTCAGGTGGGGCATTTCTCTGCTATCGTTGTCACCAGACATCCAAAACCTGCAACGAAGGTGACGTCAGATCTCTTCAAAAAACAAATTGCCCAGAAAAAGCCTGTGCGGTTCTCAAATATGAAAGTAAGTACTTACCCTACACAGTTCGCGATAGTATATATTGCCAAAGTAAGTTGAATCCTATGAAAAACCTTTTTTTTAATTAAATGTTATATATCTAAGTGCGACATTTGAACAGTGTTAAATTTGAGGGTTGTTGTGGAACTGATATCTTACCATCATGTTTGAAACTTTTTTTGATAAACGTTTCTAGCTTGGATGCCGGGGAAAAGAGTGTTAGCAACAATCCGAGGATGCGCTTCGGAAGCAAAGAAGGAACTCCAATCTAGAATCTCGAAGCCCTCGAACGACACCTTCGTCCACGAATGCAACACTGATCTGTGTAACTCATCAACAAAAATATATTCCCCGCTTTACTTAGCCATACTCGGAAACATTATACAGCTTATACTGTGTGTACGGTGATAAGAGGATTTATACATTTCAAATAAAATAAATTGTTTTTATTGCGTTTTGTAAAAGTCACAATTAACAACGAGATCCCATGTTCCTGCTGTACGACTAATATTAAAAATTATTTTGATGTGTGTTACCACATTGCTATCAGCCATACCTACGGTAAAAATTGATACACCTCAGGTGGCTATGATATTTTCGCACGACACTTTACGTAAGTTTTTTTCTTATCCGCGATATCCACACACTCTACTCCTTCTTGCCTAAAGATTTTATGGGATGTGCACATATTTTCAAAAAATACTGCCGTAAAAATGCCGCATCCAAACTTATTGCCGATCATTGATTAAAAACAAGTTTTTAAATCTCGCGCATGCGCGTGTTGAATAGACCTTCTCAAACTTTTCTTTCATACTTGCTTCATAAGTTCCTGTATTATCAGCATTGGGCTCTATTATCTGTAGTAGCTATATCGTGGTCGCCGAACACTACCAAACACCACCCTACTCTTCCGCTTCATCTCATCAGTGACACTTGTTCATCCCTAGTACAAGGGTAATGCATATCGTGAATGTATTATATTGAAGAGTGTCCTTTCTTGTCTTGTATTTATTGGTTTAAAGCACTTTACAGCCCTACTCAAGACGATTTGCATTTTGTATCTTACAGGAAAAAAAATCGTTTATTGAACATGGTTGACAATTTTCATACTTCTGCATTTTTTTGTGCAAAACCATAAAAAAATAATAATAAACGAATTTTCAAAGGAACTTCCACAGGCAATTATAATACTATTTACAAACCTTCTGGATTCCTCCTGCGTCGGTTCTTCAGTCGAACTTGTTGTTTCGCCAATCATCCTGTTGGCTTGTTCGGCGCTTAACTGAAATTGGCTCCATTTTACTCTGTACCTGCTTATATATTATTTGAGGGGGGTGGAACTATATGAGGGGCATAAACATCGACCCGCATGATTGATTCCCATATTAGTGAAGACCTGAGATGCGGTTAAGATTGTATGCTTGTTTATAGATTTTTATAGATTCTCGTATTTTTCGTGGGTAGAAGATGATGATGATTATCTCAAATGGAATTTTGTCTTTGACAGATCGAAGGGGTTGATAGAATTTTGGAAAAGTAGTAAATCTGGTTTTGGCGTTTTATTTCTTAAGAATCTTTCATATCTGGTAAGGGATATTTTGAATGTAAGGAAGAAAAACAGTGGCAAATGTGGGATCGCTCTCGGAATCATTGCTATTGGAAGGGTGTGGTAAAATGTATTTTGTGATGGAACGCTTAATATCTTATATGTGGAAATTATTAGCGAAAAGAGCAGAGGTAAGGTGTTTTAATTCTAGGCGTTCAGTGACTCGGGCTGAGATAATTTTACGGCTCTCTGGACAAGAGAGTTGATAACCGATGACATCTAATGGGGATTCTTGATCATGAGGCCAAATAATAAAAGCATCATCGACGTAGTGTTTCCGTAATTCAAAGGCTCATAAATATATTCGCAATGACTGGTGATAATGGAGAACCCATAGCTGTTCCCGACGTTTGTTCAAAAATTTGACTGTTATAAGAAAAATATGGTTCAGACAAGCATTTTTCGATTAAGGTGAGAATGTTTGGATCGATAATTTTAATATTTCTGAATGATGTTGAGAGTTTCAGGAATAGGGACTTCAGTAAAGAGGGATTCTACGTCGAAACTAACCAGCATCTTATGGAACTAATGTAATGCTTTTTAAAAGTGCAATGAAATTAAAGGAATTAAGTACGAAACTATCAGTTTTTCCTGTAAAGGGTTTTAATATAGAAGCTAGATATTTTGCTAGAGAATATGTTGGAGAACCAATGCTGGTTTGTGAATTTTAGGGAGTTTGTAGAGACGAGGAATTTTAGAGTCATGAGAGGTGACAGACTTTTCAACAGATTTAAGTTTGCGTTGGGTAGATGGAAGATCAATCTTTTCCTCCTATTCATTAGTGTTCATAACCACCGTAGCATATTATTTATCTGCTTTTAGCATTACGATGTCTGGATCAGTAAAATCTAGCAAGTTCGACTCAACAACAACCGACACAGGAGGAATCCAGATTTTTTCTAAATAGTAATAATAAATGATATGTGATGTTACTATATTATATTTTTTGATTATTCCTCCCTTTGTGCCAACAGAATGAAGTAAATTATCTTTTAAGGCATGAGTGAGTGCCCTTAATACCTTATACCCAAATTGAAATCTCAGGAAAAATCAATAACTCTGTTGATTTATTTTAAAAAGTTTGGAAAACATAACTCATACTTCTGAATTTTTTGTACAAAAATAAATAAATAATGACAATTAAAAGCAATGTACTCTCACTGAAGAGTTTTGCATATTTCAATAGAATGCTGATTGGTGATTCTTTGATTTTGGGATATCCCTATTTCTCAATCCAATTCGCAGGAAAAATCAATAACTCTGTTGATTTATTTAAAATATTTCGGAAAAATAAACTCGCAAAATATCTCCAGTGATTGTTCTATTTACTTTTCGCGCAAGATGAAAGAAAAATGTTATACTTATTTATGACCGTGTATAAAACAATAAAGCACTTAAATCTCGGAAAAATGACGGTCGAAATCATAGGCTATATAGTAAATAAAATCACGCCCGTATTTAGTAGTAAAACTGAACTTGCATATGAAATTAAGTTAAAACGCTGATATGGCCATACGCAGACGATATACTACAGCGGTAAGCAACAACTCTTTTAGTGTGAAAATATGGTTAACGTATTAATCTAATTAAACTAATCATTAGTATGTTAACCTACCTACCAACCAAAATTTTGAAGAAAATTTCACCTTCATTATGAAAACACGTCCATAACAGAAAATTACAATTATTTTTCAATTTTTGAAATGTTCCAAAGAGTCACTTTTAATATTTATCAAATTATTCTAACAAAAAGTGTTGTTATCGAAAACCTTGGCTACTGCGTTGTTTCTAAACTGCATAAAAATAACGCACGAAATGAAATGGTGGTGCTTTCAAGAAACGTTTTTATTTTCAAATTTCTCATTTCTGAATTTTTAATATTCCTACGGATTCCTTAAACAGAACAAAAATATTATCAACATGAACAGAAAAACCCAGACTTATTTCAAATTCTTCAAGTATGGCTGAATAAGCTCTGATTAACCATAAAGATGAACAATTAATAGGTATGAGAAATTGATTTCATTGAATGCTTATGAGTAATAATAATTTTTAATCATCTAGTTCTTATAAGTAACCGTATATCTGAAAACTTATCATCTTCCAAGTGCCAATTAGTAAATAAATTGAAATTCACCATATCTAAACAAGCTCTCAAACTTCTAATTGAAAACGAATAAACGCCTCAAACCTCAAAAAATATTTTTGCGTTTTTGTTTTATTATGTAAATTTATTATAAATTTAAAATTAAAATGAAAAATAAAATAGAAATAACTGCTTATTAAAAAGGGTCGCCAAAACAAAAAAAGAAAAATAATGGAAACACGACACACGTTTGAAAACCATTTGACTGAATTACAAAAATTATTCTATATAAAATTCGTTTTGCAGTTGCTGATCATATTGCCAGCTGTAGTAAGCACTTTTAAAATTGAAGCAAATATTAATAATTTCCAATGCAAATCGACCAACATTCAGTGTCTAAGCAGTACAACTTTTACTTCGTGTATCAATGGCGACAGCGTAATTAGTTTGGTGAAATCTGTAATTCAGTGTCCTGAAGGATATGTTTGCAACGATGATGTCACCGGACCGTAAGTGTGTGATCTATTAAAATTAAACTGTGGCGCAACTTTTAGACATTTAGTAGATAAATAAACATTCACTAGTTTTTTTTTTCTTAAATAGATGCGTACTGCAATCGGGCTCGACAGAAAGCACCACAAACGGTAAGTTAAACATATTTGTAGAACGTGTTAACCATTAGTTAATTAATGGTTGCAGGTAGAACTTCAGCATCCATTACGACACGTGTAACAACTTCTGATTCCGGAACTGCAAATATTACAGATACAACAAATGTAGGCACTACAACACCTATTACAGATACAACCTTTGTAGGCACAACCACACGCTTCACAGGTACAACTCCTATAGACTCTACTACGCGTTTTACAAATACCACAACTACTGCAGACATTACTAGCCGCTTTACAGAGAAAAACGCGCTCACGACAGGTATTCCAAAAACAATAACTGCTGGAGACAAGACAACACATTCCACAGATAAAACAAATGTTGAGAATACAATTATTGACCATACAGACCGAAAAAGCACTAGCAGACTATACACGAAGACAACAGTAACTCCCATAGACGATGAGGTCACAATTTCCCTATCTACTAGTATAAGTTATATCAACGAAACAGTGCCTCCTTTTGCAAACAACTTTACAAAGACAAAAATTAACGAAACCGCTACCCGTTTTCCAGTCATTGATACGACAGTAGCTTCTGTGGGCAATAGCGCAAGCTTTATGAATACAACTGTTCCCCCAATAAATGATGAGGTCACAATTCCCCTAGACACTAGTACAAGTTATATCAATGGAACGGTGCCTCCTTTAGACAACGGTTTTACACAGACAAAAATTACTGATACTTCTACTGGTATTCCAGTCAAGGCAACAACGCCTTCTGTGAGTGGTAGCACAGGTTTTAATACAACTGTAACTCCCATAGACGAAAAGGTCACAATTGCTCTACAAAGTAGCACACGTTATATCAACGAAAAAGTGCCACCTTCAAACAACAGTTTTACAGAAACAAAAATTACTGATGGTGCTACTGATAGTCCAATCACGGAGACAACAGCTTCTGTGAGAGGTAACACATGGCTTACGAATACAACGACGATAACTCCCATCGAAGATGCAAGCACACCAATTTCTATGGACAATAGTACACACGTGGAGATCCCAGAAGTGTCCCACTTAAATAACATTACAAGTTTAAACGATACAACTACGGCTGTATATAGTACATCAGTAACTTCTGTTGATAATACGTCATGGAGTGTACATGCAAGTACGCAAACTACCGATGCTACAGTAACTTCTGTCGACAACTTGACGGCTGTTACGGAAACCACCGCTAAAGACCTAGGGTCAAATTTTACAAAAATGACAACAATTAGAACTACAATAACTTTTGCAGACGCTACTCAACACTTTACTATAACACCGCCGACACACACCAATCAAAATATCACAGATACCACAACACCAGTAGTCACTAGCACGCGCTTCTCAGGTTAGTTAACCTAAATCTATTTATGTTTCAAAGTAAACAGAAACATACCCGGGTCGAGAAATAATAATACATTTTCAATAAATATAAATTGAGTCGCATTAATATCTATTTACGTGATATAAGAATGGATCCGCTACTACGTTCACGCCATTCAGTTATTTTCAAATCTCATTCATGCATCTAGATAGAAGTTCATTTCACGAGGGTTGATAGCACTTGAATATATTTTTTTCACAAATTTAATAATTATTATAAACAACTGTCGAACCATCTCCGACAACCTTGTGAATTGAACTATACTCAGTTAACAGTGTAGAGAGATAATTGAATATGTATTGTTGATCGTAGTTGAAAGACCGACTGGTTCCCCTTCATGTAAAGATGCAAGCACGTACCCGGCACCAGCGTGCAACCAGTATTATGTGTGCACAAAGAAGTCCGTATTGTTTATATCATGGTATGAACCTGTATTGAACACCTGCGTCGATGGATATGAATTTAGTTCCACGCTATTGCAATGCGTTTTGCCAGCGCTGAGTGATTGCCCTTAGTCAAGACAATTGTCTGAAAAAGTTATGATTATGTCTTAGCTTATGACGTATACTGGAAATTATACCCATTTGTAATAACCTCTCTATTTTTATCCTTGTCTCATAAATGTCAGAAAACCAATTGTCAGACAAAGTTGTTATTTACTTACCAAAGTTAGTTTTAGTTAGCAAAAGATAAGTTTCTTTGAAAAATTCAAATTGGAAATTGTAATACAACTAGCAGAAGATATGCGAAAAAAACTTGTTCGAAATCGGGTAGTGATTTTTCGCAATTTTAGTTGACCCAATTGCTTGAAGAGGTTGTTTATTATGATTATGTTAGATTAAGTTAGTTTTGATTAGCAAAAGATGTTTTTTTTAAGTTCAAATTGGAAATTGTAATACAACTAGCATCAGATTCAACAAAACCGAGCCCCAAAAAGATTGCGAAAGAAACTTATTCAAAATCAAGCAGTGATCTTTCGCAATTTTAGATGACCCAATTTAGTAGAGCCAACTGTTTGAAGAGGATGTTTATTGTGATTATGGCTTATCTTATTACATATAGTGGTAAATTATACCCATTTGTAACGACCCTTTATACTTGTCTCGCAAATGTGAGAAAACCAATTTTCAGAAAAAGTTGTTAGTTCCTAACCAAGGGTAGTTTTGGTTTGCAAAAGATAAGTTTTTTGAAAAGTTCAAACTGAAAATTATAATACAACTAGCCGCAGATACCCACAAAGATTGCGAAAAAAACTTGTTCAAAATCGGATAGTGATTTTTCGCAATATTCGTGGACACGCGCATGAACACTTTTTAGACACCATAATAAAATGTAAAACAACCTATTGCGTAGTAAGCAATTATGGGCTGCAAAATAGGAAACATATGTTTTTATTTCCGCTAATATATTATCGTTGGAAATGAGTATAATTTGAACTACCGATGAAGATGCGCATGTAAATATAAATAAATAACTGTATTTTAAATGAAACCAACTACCCAAGATAACATTTTTTAATAATTCCAAAAATCAACTTGCCGAAAATATTTTAAATGATAACATTCTTAAATAGTAATATTTATTTCGATGTTCACTTAAAGATTTTTCTGTTATAAATTGGCAACCGTACCGCTTAACATATTTACAAAACGAGTCTGGACAAAATAGGATGTCGAATTTTCGATTTTCATAAATTTTCGGACAGTTTATATACACTAAATATAAAACTTCGTAGCACTGTTGAACAACATCGTCTTTCAAGTAAGTAAAATGTTCACAAGAAATAACATCATACAAAATGTCTGCTACAATTGAATTTGTGATATTATCGGCTCTGTTTTTGGCAACTTTATGGAGGATACTAATGTACACTGGTAAAGTGATATCCGCACTCTTTTTGTCCGCTACTACGTCCAATACACCCGTACGTATTTGAGAAAGTAAAGAATGATTTTCACACAGCACCTTAACACCCAATTCCAATTTACACATGGCATCGATTACGGCCAATATCAATGCTTTTGTCTCAATATCTGATAAACAGCTGGATAACAATTCCGAAATCAACTTAAACCCCATCGATTTGGAGAAAACTTTAAAATCTTTTTCGTTGCGGAGACCGTCCCTTAAAATTTCTAAAATGAACGTCCTATGTTGCTTAAAGTTCACCTCGGGGCTGTGCAGGAGAGTATAGAGTTCGGGAACGGTATCTAATTGAAGCAGTTCTTTCGCCATGAGGTATCGAGAGAGAGGGTAGTACATAACGTGGTTGGGCTGGGTTAATATCATGGCTGTCCTGGCAAAAAATATTGCTGCGAAACTGTTTAACTTGAACTCCGGCAGATGAGCCAAGCCTACGAAAAAAAAACTAAATGTAAATAAATGAAAGACTCAATTCGCATCAAGATAGCTTCCTTTTAATATACAGAATAATGAGAAATTTATTTATATTATTTATTGGCCACAATAATCCAGAAGTTTCTTGTAAAACTCAATGTTGTGTTCGTTGCGTTTACAGACTAACTTATCAACATTGGTGGTCGATTGTGGGCTACGTATTGAACATATTTCAGCTCCATTGTTAAGCTCTCGTTAGTTTAGATTATTTTTTATATTAACTAAATCAACAAACAATTTACGAATATTTTAGTAGATAAATTTTGTAAAACATAACGGTCATTTTATAATTGATTTTTTTTTTGGGATAAGCGAGTGATAACAGGTAAAACTATAGCATCGGTCGATACTATATTTAAAAGTAAAAAAAATTGTTTGACATATCAAACTCAAACTAGGTCAAAAAAAATAATCTTGTATTTGTTAGATTTTGAAGAAAAATGTGATACGCCGGTATTTTATTTCAAAATTTGTTAACTGTCTCAAATGCACAAGTTAAAATTTAAAAGTATTTTGGGAATTTTTGATATGACAACCAGCTTTTAAAATAGTTGTACACTCTTTTACGTTAATATGTAGTTACCCAGAATTAAACGAAATTTGATACAGACGTCACTTTTACAATACACCGACGCAAGAAAGAGAACAGCAAACGCAAGATATACTGACCTCTTTTCTTCTTTTTATTTACTTATTTGGATTAAACCTAACTTAGCAGGGCCATTATTTTGGTGAAATGTTTATATTTTTTTATTTATTACACAATCGGGGCAAACACTTTAAAAATCCGATTGAGAAAATTTCACAAAAACATTCAGTTTGAATATACAACGAAGCTTACCTCCACATAATGCAACCACATATCTACGATCGTAGATAGATGGATGCGGATACTGACCTCTTTTCTTCTTTTTATTTACTTTTTTGGATTAAACCTGACTTTGCATGGCTATTATTTTGGCGAAATGTTTATATTTTTTTATTTATTACACAATCGGGGCAAACACTTTAAAAATCCGATTGAGAAAATTTCACAAAAACATTCAGATTGAATATACAACGAAGCTTACCTCCACATAATGCATCTACATATCGTATCCATAACAAATTATCCTTGCCTGTTTGGCGTGCCTCTAAGTGGAAATGAAATCGTGACAATACGTGACAAGCGGCTTGCCTGACCTCCTCACACTCGCTACTGAGAGCCATCACTGTTATACTTAAACCGCCACATCTAAAAACATTTACAGTGACATTGAGAATGCAGGAGTGATGAAGATTTACCTAGTAAATTTATAGGTTTTAACTTGCTGCTCTGCAGCCAATATGTGACTAAATAAGGGGAGCATGAACTTTAAATCATAACACTTAATATCAACATCGTCGTCGGCGTTGTTTTCCGGATGTAGATGATCTTCGAAAGGGAAATTGATAATTGTTGATACAACTAATCCATCCTTAAGGCTATCGAGAACGTCACTGCTCTTAGGTTGACGAATCAGGGCGTTATCTATCCTCATACGTACTGAGTAATGAGTTGCCGCCTCTCTACCCCATAGAAAAGGCTTAAAATCGTAAAAACTCGTTTGCTCTGGTCTAGATTCGTATCTAAAATCATTATCATGCATACGAGTAAAAGGTACTATACAAAACCTACAGCTTCAGAAGATTTAGGATGGTTCTGTCGCATTTGGTAATCCTAGCTCTATAAGCGGACAGGAGTACGGGTAGGTGGTTTTTTTCCATGAGCTCAGGATAAGTATGGCATAAAACAGCCATAAGTGACAATACCCCGTACTTCACGTCGCTATGCTCACCCAGTGTAACATTCAAAAACTCTGAATGTGAGAGCAGCTGTTCCAGAAGCAGAGCACTTTTGTCTTTGCTCAAGCTTGATCCCATAATATTTAAATAATTTTTCAAACATCTCAGCAGTACACCTTCCCCAGACACTCCGAATTTTAAACACAGCTTCCAAAATGTATTCAAAGTTTCAGTTCCTGCTTGGTTTTCTATAACCGAACCGTTTTTTAAGACCGCTTCCAAAAAGTTATTGAAAATCGACGACAATTCGCGAAGTTTGGACGTAAAAACTTCCGATTTTGTTTGTCGTTTAAGAAAGGCTGTTTCGAGATGAACGAATGTTAAAATCATATTACTAATCTCTTTACCACAAGGGTTGTTTTGCAGTACTTTCCCGTAAATCGCATTCAAAAATCTCGCATGAAATATTTCTGTCACTTCAAATTTCTGAATTTTTTGCGCGAAGCTTTTGCATTTTTCAGGTGCTGTGAATTTCTCTATCAAAACAGGTAAATCGTAGTTTTTTGCAAAATGTTGCCCCACCTTTTGAGGTTTCTGTAACGCTTTAAAAATAGATGGCTCCAAATGGGCGTAAATAGTTTGAAGAATTTCATCTTCTGCCTTGGAATTGATCAAAACGTGAGTTAATGGTATTATTACACCCTTTTTTTCAACAAGTGCACCGAGGTGCTCTTTAATATAGGACGAAAGTGTCAAATTTCTTTCAAGCATGAAAGACAAGAAGTCTACGTTATCTTTATTGTAGTCGGGAAGTTTTAAAATTTCTATAAACAAGTTTTCATTCACGTTCGGTAAATGGTGAGGAAAAACTTTCAAATAATCGAGTAAACTTTTCAAAAACTTGCTTATGTATTTTTCTTGCGGAAAAGTGGCAGTGTAACCAGTTATTCGCCTCAAAACAGTCCCGTCTAACGGATTCAAGTTGCAATTTAAAGCGCATAAATTTGACAATCTCTCTAAACAGTAGATCAATACTTCAGACAAAATATGATTGGATATATCCAAAGTTTCTGATAAGGTTATAGATAATTTGCAAAGAATGTCGATAACCTGATCATAATTAAGTCCGAAAACTTGAAGAACTTCCACGCTTGCTGGACTCAATAAATATTTCTTAGGTTTCTTAATAATTTTAAGCACAGAACCAAAAATTTTCAAGCTGAGAGTTAGGAAATAGCTGCTATGAACACTAGTATCAACAAACTTACATATCTCAAACAAAGTTGTGGTACATAGGCCAATAGAATCATCAGATTCAAAACGTAAGAAATCAAAATTATTAACTATATTTGGGTTATTTAATAGTAATTCCAGACAATTTTCTGCCTGTATGGTTTGTGTATATAAAAATTTAAAAACAAACTGAAGGTTTTTGGAATGATTCTCTGTTGCTTTTCCAAAGCAAACTAAATTGCTAAAATAAAATATGCTTAACTGCAAAAAGTCCAGTCCATCACCTGGATATAATGATTCCGGCAAAGCAGAATCATTCAATGTCTTATTCAAGAAAGCTTCACTAAAAAGGTGAAAATGTTTAAGCACACCTTTAATTTTTTCTAAAAAACAACCATTCCCGTTAAACCAGTTGGTTATATAGTTACATATGTGATTTGGAATATTGTCTTTATAATTATAAATAACACCCCAAAAATTCTTCACAGAAGTTTGATAATGAAAAATATTTAATAATACAAACTCAACATACTTCTTCATAGTTTTGTCACATCCATTTTCCCGCAAATCCTTCAAAAGAGCCACAATCAGAGAGCTACAGTGCCTATGCCTAATTGTTTTGCCATGTTCATTATTTTCTTCCAAATTTAGAATACTGCTAATGAGTTGTAAATCATCTTCTTTAGCATTACATGTGACTTTAACATCCAACAACTCTTTTTGATTTTCAAAAATATGGTCATTAGCTGTGTGGATGAGTTTGACAAAATTCTCAGCAAAATTATCAGAAAATGATTGAAAATTCAAGATGCCATTTAACCAAATGTGGATTTCATAGAAATAGCCTTCAAATAAACTAGTGTTCTTCAACAGCTTGGAGAGAACTTCCAAAACTTCCTGGGTCCTCAGTTTATGATATAATTTTAGAAATGTTGGTAAAATATCTTTGAAGTTTTCTGTGTTTGGGAGAAACAAAGAGTGATCTAAATCTATAAAGAGGTCAACCATTTTAACTTGAAGTTTTTCCAACTGTTCCTGAGGAGTTTCTGTGTTATTTGCATGAAGTTGGAGTTCCAAGAAAAGTCCTTTCACATTACTCTCATTTAGATCGATAGTATATAAAAGCTGAGGCGCCAAATTTTTGTAGAGATTCAATATATCCAATATACACGCCAAATATTCAATTTTGGTGTCAATTTCTTTAGACAGTTCCCTCCAATCATTCATTAGGGTCTGAGCTTTGGGAAAATTCCTAGATACATAATTTGAAAGGTGGTACTTAATTTTTTTATGATTTTCAATAGTCGTCCTAGTGTCTAAATGCTGAAGGTAGTTATTCAGAGCCTCTAACATATCATATAAAAATACAGAAATGTGCTGTTTTATATTCGGGACAGCATACAAATTATCTTCTGGCAAGAGAATTTTTAGAATTGGTGCTGGACATATCAGAACTTCAATTATCTGAGCCAACTAAAACATTTTTAAAATTAAAAGTGCTCAAGAGATGATCACTGAAGGTACCTGTTGAGGTAGTAAGCTGCTTGCACAGTAGTCTATACAACTAGGTTCCAATGTTTTTATAAGTTGCCTACAAAATTGAATTGCTATTAACCATTTTTCTGACAAACGGGGTTCCAGAGATGGTTTCAGCATAGTCCAGATATGTTTGACTAAATCTGGACATACCCTACAAAAATAAATAATTTTACCAACAATCTGTAATATTTCAGTAAAATAAAATTGAATGTAAATTGCAACTGATTAAAGCAGATCAATAAAAAAAATACTTACTTGCATATTTTAAGAACTAAATCACTGGCATAAGAGTGTTCCCATGGTTTAGCGACACTTTCAACAACGGTGTACAGGAGAGCATTTTGGACTTTCCTACCTAGACCAACCATGGGGTCTTTAAACACCACTCCATATTTATGAGAAGTGCACAGAGTTATCAGAAAATCATGAACACATTCGCTAACTTTGGATTTTGCTAACTTGTCTACCTAAAAGAAATAATAAGTTAATAAACAATTCAAAATATTAAAGGAGGCAAATAGCAAACCTCAAAAATGGATTTGTTATTTTTTTGCAAGTTGGTTAACCCTTCCGGACCTCTCCAGTTATACAGATTAACAATATCTTTAATGGCTGATGTGTTAAAAACTTTCATTTTGGTTGTTTTTGAGACAGACCCATTTTCCAAAATGTAATTTTTCATTGCAGTAATCACAATACACAAGGTTTCTGAAGAATCATATTGCAGCCCACTTATTATACTAGTTAAAAGACTACTTCTTTCCAACAGAATGCACAAAACATGTTCATTTCCATCTACCAAAAATGCTGTTACAAAATGTATAAACATGTCTCGTACACTGTCTTTTTCGCCAGTATGTTTAATGAGTAATTCTATGTTTGCAGAATGGAATTTGACATTTAACAAGATATCTTTGGCTAAGTTGGGTGCAAGTGCCGCTACCGCTGTTAGCAGTTTCATACAAGACTTCCTTTCTTCTTTTGATGAACTTAAGCCTATCATTTTATGTAAAACACTGATGTAATTATTAAGCAGATAGCGACAAGCTTCAACAGTGGAATTCTTGTACTGTGGATAATTTAAATTTACTCTCAGTAAGATATCAGTAACTAAATCAAATACAAGTGTAGGTGAGATTGTGGAGTCACTTTCCAAAACTTGCAAAAGTTCCACACAGTTCCCTCCATTCACCAGGTATTCATAAACATAGTCATGTTCGGTGGATAATTTTAAGGCATCCAGAAATTGCTTAATAGCTACAATAATTCAAAATTACTAAATATGAAAAATTGAAAAATGACTATTTATTACCTGATAATTTATGTTCCGAACTTAATTTTTTCCTAAATTCTTTAGCAGAAAATAACCTAGATTTTTTTGCATTTATTTCTTGTGGAACTTGACCATTTTTTCGCTTCTGTGTTGATTTGTGATCATTTAAAAGATCTGATTCCATTTTGGAAGTGAAGAAGCTATTCTGTTAAAAATTGCATTTCAATTACCAAAATTCAAAGAACATAACCTATAAACCAAAACATGCGTTCTTATCTCATTTCTCCCAAACTGGAGGGGAGGTGGCTACATAGTTAAGGACATACCTTGGACATTTAGAACTTATAACTGCAGTTACATCTGGAACAAATTTCGTAAATGATCAGTTCAACTCATAAGCAATAACCAAAAATGAAAATGCAGAAACCTTTGCAACATTCGTTTTGATCAAATTATAGTAAATTAAAAAAACTGTTTTCCTTCACGTGGACGGTTGTCCGTTAAAAGTAAGCCTTGTCGCTGTAAAGAATAACGTTTTTCTCCTAACAGGGGCTAATGTTTCCAAAGTACGCATAAATGGTTAGGTCTTACGCATAATTTCTGTGAAATTTTTAGTTATCAATATTAACAGAGGATCTCAGATATTAACAATAACTTAATATATATTATGTTTGACCGCAGGCAGCTCCATACTAAAAAAATGGAAAAGATTTCTGTATCGGCTTTTTCTAAAACGGTCTTACGTTTGAACACCATCCGTTATATGGCGCTGACGCTTTTGACAACACGCTAATGTGTTAAGTTTCCATATAATTTGCAGAATTTGCACATTACGTCAGTTTCACTGCTCAATATTAATAAATTAACTTATACCTTAGGTTATATTAATGTAAAATTGTTTCACAAATATGAAACGATTTCCAACAAGCGACAAAACCTTAGCAGAAAGTTATTCTAAAAAATAATTTACTGCTGTGAGACGAATTACTTAATTTATTGATGTTTCACAAATATATGCAGGGTGACTGGAAATATATGTTAAGTATCTGGGATTCACAAGATAGAACAAGAACAAATAATAACAATTTATTATATTTTTTTGGTAGGGGCCCTCCCTGCACATAGTCTCTAAAGGACTCCGCTTTTTTTTAATCATTTTGTTAGTGGAATTAAAGTAGTAAGTAAAGTAGTAAAATTTTTGACCACTAGTAAACAGTATGTTTGAAACACATTTAGCTGGTTTTAGTTTATCTGGCATATTCTTTGGTACAGTAAATCAAATGCATACATTATTTAATTGTTGCAAGCTGATGAAGTAGGTAAATTTTTTTCATTAAAAAAAAACAATTTGGAAATTTATAGGAAGGATAGGTTTAAATTTAGTTTTACTATTATATAATTTCGCTGTCTCCGATGATATCTCAGAAATAAATTCTATTATCTATAATGTTAAATTAGATTTTTTTACCATCGACCTATCAACTGTAAAAGTCCTGTTACTGCCATTTTGTTATTCTACCATGGTTGATATATTTATGTAGCTGCCATTAAAAATTACCACATATTCTGCTAAACATGCCTTTTATTTATAACAAAATCATTAACAGTATAATTCATCTATGAAAAACAATAATTAAATTTATTTAACACAAATATTGCCTATTTTATAAATTGTATTTAAAATCTAATTTATTTACAATTCAATATTTAGATTCTCACGCCATTTAGATTTCTTAAAATTTGTACATATTATTTACATAACTGAATAATGTAGATATAAATTTATAGCTAGGGAATTCTATCAAATAAATATTTAAGTGTACTTTGTTCCCTCATAAGGTTTCAAGATTCACGTTTATAATAATTTATATTTATGTGTAGGACATATATCTCCTTAATATCTTTAATTATTCACAACTTAAGAACAAGTACGCATTTTAATAAGTAGTTTCTATATACAAACTAGGAAATTATATCACAACCATAGATATATTGCTTTACCAAATTCTTAGTTCTACCTAATAAAATAATAAAAGAAATACGTTCATTCTTAACAATTAGATTATTCAGTTCCGCATCGGCTAAAGTATTTAATAATTTATTAAACATATTTATAGACAGATCTCATCTGAACTCTTAATATCCTCCATTTGTTGTATTTGGTGGTCATTCAGCCATAGTTATTAACAAATAAATACTTAATTTTAATAAAAATAAACTTATAATTAATATGTAATTATATTGGAAAATCATTTAAACTAGACGTGTTTACAACTTATACTTATTCCAACAGCATGTTTTCCCACTTTTGATTCCATTACGTTAATGTACTTCTTATTTGTTGTTTAGATAAATTTAATTGTTTTAATAGTTTATTAATGTGTTTTAATTACAATTAAATTTCCAAAGCATTGTAGTCTGAATAGCCATAAAATTTTTCTAATTTCATCTAATATTCATATGAATTAAAACGCGGCTTTGCTTGTCTAATTTTAGTACCTATGTAAATTATTTACATATTTTTTGGCTGTTCTATATTACCAATTAAAGTTATACCATCACTACGGCCATGTGGATTTATCGAATTATTAGTACGATAATACATAGTACACATAAAACACACAGCAAAGCGAATAAACGAATCGCGTATCAAGGATTTTCACCAAAGGGAGGGAGAGGATTTTGCTCAAAGAAACTGGATACAAAATCGACGGCATGAAGTTTTATTAAAGTCTGGTATCTAACTTGTCTCAAGCGCGTAACAGCACTTCTCAGGGCTTTGCAATGAGTTTTTTTTAACCAATCAGTTGTAGAAAACAAGAAACATGAACAGGGCAAGAAGAATCACTCTCTAATTCTCGCTTATTTAGGCAGGCCCATAAGGGTTCTAATAGTGATTATACGAAGATTGATCAATTATATTCGTATCGGTGCAAAAGCAAAAAATAGAAAGGTCATTTGTTCGATGTTTTAAAGGAGATAGAATGATGTGCATTCCTTACTTTATTTATTAACTCATTTTACGCAGCCATATTTGTTTCGATAAATCTTGGAAAGAGCATTAGGGTTTGTTAACACCAATAACATTTTATAAAATGAAAAATGCAACATAAACGCTCTATTTTACGTCAAAAGTAGCTAGCAGACATTGGTTAAACGTCATAAATAAAATTTTTCTTTTTTTTACTTCAGAATGATATCCGCCGACTTCGCATCCGCCCTCAAGACTGTCTGTGTAGTCCTAAAAAGCTTTGCTTATAATAATATAAACAATTAAATTCTCCCTTAATTAATTTGAACCTAGACGCTACACTATACGGCAAAAGAAACATTCGCAAAGTGATTGATGATAAAGACTCATTGGTTAACCATTAACCCAAATTATATAGTTAGCATTACGGGATCATGTTTAGCACGCTTGAGTTGCACAACGTCTTTTTCGCACTTCTTCACTGTTCGCTCGTTGTAAGCTTTAGCCGAACACCTCAGAAAAAGACATTAAAAACAGTCACAGTTACTGTGCCTTAAAATTTCCACAATTTATGTAATTGTGGAATTACAAGATGACACGAAAGTACTTATTAGTAATTTTGCGAGGTTTTTTAACTAAAAATTGTGTACTATCGATAATGTTACTGATTTTTCCTAAAATTACTCAGGACATTTATGTTTCTATTACAACGTAGCATTAATACAATATTAAATTATTAAATAAGAATGACTAGAATCGTAAGTATTTGAAATAATGTTTGTGTCCGATAGTGATGAAGGATTTAGTTTAAAGCTAAGGAAAGTATTAGACAAATTTGTTAGAAACATGATGTTACAGGCTTGCAGCTGCATTAGTTTTTAAATATCCATTTAAAAAAATTGATGAAAGTCTCGAAAATTTGATTTAGAAATGATGTTGAATATTATTTGACATTACTCATCAATTTTGTTTTTACAAATAGATGATATCATATTTTTAAGGTTTTGGTTAGTTGTCAGTCTCATTTTTTCAAGGTTTCATTCCTACGTTTTTTTTTCTAACCAACGCTCCTTTCTAGCTCATACAAAGAGTTGCTTGTATCCATGGAATTGTTGTGTATCCAGTATCCAAATAAACAATAACGGTTTTTCTATCTGCCACGGTTTTCTAAATCGTAATACATTATTCATCAATTTCGAACACTCCCACATATATAATAATTTAAATTACCTATATAACAATTTAATATGCACTAGAATTTGCGTTTCGGGATAAAGCGAAACGCAGTTCTTCCCAGTTCCCAGGGCTATAAATCAAATAGTTATCACGATAGGCACTCTCCATACTCATCAGATATCCGCTGGGTTATTTTTGTTTTATTTTAATATATTTGAATTGTTGACTAGAATATTACCTACGTAATTTCGACAGAGATTACGCCTCACAGCGTGAAAATGTGTCACCTAAATTACAAGCGAGTACCTACTAGTGAAAAGGGGGAAAATAAAACGAATTGGAAAGGAGCAACATCATAAAGAACGAGGAAATGGAAAAATAATGACTAAAAAGGGATGACTATTTGACGTCTCCACGATGTTGCTTACAGGGACGTTATACAGATGTCGTAATCTGTTCTATTATTTGAACGTTCCTGACTGGTCTCCTGCAAGATCCATAATACTCTCGCCTAGCCAACCCTTCCGGAACACTTTTGCTCGGCCGAAGAACACCTTTTGAATATATTATTAGGTTCTCACGCATCGTTTTATTCAGAATTGAAAGTTACCTTTGTGGGGAGTTCGAGGTAAAGTGGAGTACCGTACCAAGTCGTGGTGGTTGTATAGGTGCCTCGGTTGTACGTACGCAGAGTGGTCTATATTTGCTGCGTAACTCTGACTCTTGGGCAAATAGTGTATCGTGGGCTCAGGTTTTTGACGGTACGAGTGCCTGAAAATCCGACGTATGTCGGAATTTGCCCTCGATACATTTTGTGTATACCCACCTGTGGAAATTCGCCCTGTCCAAGTGCTGCTGCGGTTCGTAATTCGTAAATACCCTTTCGTAATGATTACTACCCTGTTTGCAGAATGAATAAGGCGTTATGTCGGCAGCCTGACAGACACCGTTGTAATTCCTTAACGTGCAAACGCAGTCGTGCAAACTGGCAACGGTGCAGTTATTTAAATTACAGTTTGTACCGGACCCGTTGCTCATGGCGGCGTGGTCCTTTTTAGTACCTACGAGGAACATAAGACTTGCACCTAAAATTAGAAGTATATCGTATGATGTATATAGCGAGAACATGAGTAAAATTACTTCTACGACTAGTTTTTCTTAAATTGTTACAGTTCAATTGAAGTATTTTTATTTCCGGAGCTTTATAACATTTATCCCTTACTAAGAGGGAAGGAAATAGTAGCTAATTGGAATGCGTGGTAGGAAAGTTTTGAAAAATAAATATATATCAAAAGGAAACCGAACATTCACCCGACATAAAGAAACAATTATGCTACAGGATTCATAATTACGAAATACCCTGTTACGTTTTTCTGATTGCTGTGTATTTGCTATAGTTTTGCTAGTTGCTTTATAGCTGTAATTTTGGTAAATTTAGTTAGTCAACTTATCAAGACATCAAAAATTGAATAAATATAAGTTATGGAGTAGTAGATCCATAGTTTTGAAAAACGTTGATTATTCTGCTTAAAACACGTTCCTTTATTTGAAAGCGTAGATGGAATAGTTCAGGGATCCTGTATTTGATATTCAAAAATGAGTTAGTTAAAAATATCAACTTACTCTAATACAATAATATAAATGTAATTTTAATATATCGAAAGCAACGCCCAGTTTGCACCTCACTTATATTCCCAGTTTCCATTGAATAATATTAATAACAATAATAATAATAATAATAAATAATTTTATAGTGGTAGCAATACGCGTTGCTAATAATCAATTTTCCAAAAAATAACACTTCGCCAATAAATATCCCAAAGTTATAAATATTATATATTTTGCAGTCAATTTGACCTAAGGGCATTTTAATTAATTTACTATATTCGAAATTTTTGTTTATAGTCAATTAAATGTAATTTTAATATACCTGACGGGGCACTGGGTGCGATATTCAAATATTTTACGTTCACTTTCATTAACTTTTTTTAATTAGCACCATCGAAAACAAAGACTTGCTCTGACAGTTTTTATAAAATCAATCCTACTATAACTCCCTTCTTTCTCACTAATTTTAATAATGGTTTTCCCTGTATTACATAATTACTTAGACGCTTAGTAACGTTACGTTACAATTCAAAATTATTCTCTGTGTTATTTTTTATAAATATTGATACGCGTTTTGTCTTTTCGATTTACCATAAATTGTATAGCTCTATAGCCTTTCCGAACAGTATTTGTTGAAAGAGCAAAGTTTGGAGAGCCTCAACACTGCGTTAACATTGGAGGCGGGCAAGGTAAACTTAACAATGGAACTTCGATGAGGTCAACCTTTTGCCGACGCCCCGGTTAACTGAGTGGAATATTCAAATCTAGATTTCGCATATACCGTCGTTTCATATAAGGTGTAGTTGGCTCTTGATAGATACGTAATCAAATTATTGTACTTACAGCCTGCTTAAAGCTGCTTTAGTGAATAAATATGATAATTTGAAGTGGACATATTCGACTTGTAAAAAAAAATTCTTATTTTGAGCTAGCATCCAAACATGACTGATAAATGACAGACGAAGTGGCTCACATTAACCTGGCCATGTAAATTAAATCTAACGTATATAACGTGGTATTTATGAAGAATTGTGATATCACATTTTTTTGGGAATAATAAATACTTGCTTCATATCGAATGTAAAGCACATTTTCTCATCCTATAACAAAAATAACTCACCTATCAAAGTAGTGGCGAAACTAAAATAGTAACCAGCCTTGGGATAAGTTTGGTTAATATAACCGGTGATAGGGATCCCCAACAATACAGGAATCGACTTAGCACCTTGGATGAAACTCCATGCTTTGGTGAAATGCCTGTTTCGTATTCGTTCGAGGACGAACATTTTCAATGAATAGGTGAAGCCACCAAGGCAAATACCATACAGCCACACGAACAGGACATAGCCGTGGTATCCTTGGACAGCGCTTAAGGCTAATAAAGAAATACCTGAAAAAATACCACCAACCTGTAGATGGTGTAGATGCTCAGTTGGCAATCGAAAGATTTTCAAGTAACGCATGATTTGGTCTTTAAGTACCGCAAAACAAAAGAAAACTAAAGCATTTAACATTATGTAACAAGTGATAAAACTATTTACAGAATCTAAGAATTTCACCAAAAAATTGTGAATTCTTGGGAAGGAAAGCTTTATTCCATTGATATTGATTACTCGTACACAGGAATCTGTATCTCGTTTTTATATTAACGGTTTATGATAATAAATAGTAAGTATTCGCAATGCTACGTTATTTTATACTATGCTACATTAATAAATGAAATTTATTAATGTTTCTGTTACTATACTTTCAACAGTAGGAGGATTAAATGAGGAGTTTAACGTAACGTTAAATTATGGAAAAGTGGGGATATGTCCAAGTTATGCATATACTTACCAATTCCTATCAAGGCCGTTTGACAGAGATACTGTCTAGAAATTGTACACTGGGTGCTAGGTCTGACCGTTATTATGCCAAAGCCTACACAGCCGAGAGCAGAGGAAAACCCCATAAAAGTCTGCAGCAGCACAAGTGCGCTGTCCTCAATGCCTTCACGGTACCCTTGATAAACCTAGCAACAGTGTTCAGTACATTAAAATGGCGCGATGTTTCGCAACTACCTCAACCGAAAATCAATTTCAAGACTATCAACAAACTTACTAAATAAAATACTGGTGCGTAGATTCCCAACGCACCAAAGGCACATGCCAACATTATGACGCGAAGTCCTCTGCTCTTTAAAGGGCTGAAGTCGAACATAGGCGGTTTCTTGCCTTTCGAATGGGTCTTTTTCTCTTTCATTTTTTTTCTTTGGTTTTTAAGGTGAGTTATCGCCCTCCTCTGAGGATGATAGAGGTTAGCCGAACGGTACACGACGGGTAGGAAGAAAGCTAATGCTAGTATACCGGTAATGGCTTGCAGTCCAAGTCGCCATCCTAATTTCCTGCGATGTAAATGGAAGAATATTATTTGATGAGGAAATCGATTTTATGGGCAAAAACTTAAATTGACGATCTATTATAACATGTACACAATATCTTCCACAAAAGTAATGCTATCCTAGAAATTTCCAGTTTTCAGTTGCAAAAAGGTAGAACTTTTAAAACAACCGAGTAGGTGAGCGCAGCGGAGTAAATGATAAATAAACAAGTGACTGCCGCGTACAAAATATAGTATGCAAATTATACCAAAACCCGTTGCGAAACTACAGAAGATGTTTGAAGTACCTCATGACAGTGGTTAACGAAGCTGATTTAAGAGTAGGGGTTAGAAAATAGTATTAGCAATTAACGTCATATTAGCCACGAGATTCATTTGGTACAAGCGGAGCGAGTGGATAATAGACACTTTCTCCACACTTTATACGTGCATGGTTGGATATTTTAGAGTAGGGAGTACAAAAATTAAAATAGTTTTCATATATCCATATTAATAAAGACAAAAGATATTTGAAGAAAGGTAGAGGAATAGGAGAGGTATCAAATGCGATCTCTTCCACGATGACCGAACTGACACTTCCAGAAATTATTACCAATAACACTGGGCATAAATAATCATCACCATCTCTAACGATAAAAAGGCAATTCCATATACTGTTTAATGTTTAATCTAAGAGGATCTTCAGATGAGCACTGGATGAGCTGCCGGACGGATTTGCTGCGAATGAACATGTTATAAGTAACTTAAAACATGCAGATAATTCAGTCTCATGCTGGTAACTAGGCTTAACCACTCAAGAACGTCCTAGTACATTTATAAGACCAAGGTGATGGTGATTAGTACCTGAGGTGCATCGGAAAAATATAACGATCTCAAATGCCTAGGAATATGAATAGAGCGAGCTAGTAGCGGTTTTAGCAGGAAGGGTAAAGGGAGTCTCCGAAATTGAATAAGTGCGAGGTGAAAAAATAGAAGCCATCAAAGTGTGGTGTTACAGGACGGATCTAGACAATGATTGATAAACTCTTTCCACCTCACTCAGGGCATTGAAGATGCTGAATACAAATACTATAGTGGTGAGAGATATTAAGATAAGAAAACTAAAACATCTTGGACATCTAATGTTGGTGGAAAAAGAGCGTCTTGCTCACGAAGCTAAAACGTCATTTCGAAGGTAAAGGTAAAGGAAACAATAACTTAAACGTAACCTAGCACGCAAATGTAGTATTTTTAATGGAGAAACTGATGTTTGTTTGTTTGCTTTGCTGGCTATGCAATTTTAGTTTGAAAAATGAAACGTTACTTTAGGAGACTGAGAAAAAGAGCCAAAACATTCTACGTATCAAAATAATGTGTTGTTGCGAAATGGCGTAAAGGAACTCTAAACACTCAAATTGTTTTCAGTTATTTCCACACGGTTGAACTAAGTCTTCTACTCTCCGGTTGAGTTATTACGACGACGAAAGCACAAGCACGCCCCCCGCGAACTTTTAGGATTTGAGAAGAAAAATTAACAACGCACAACTTGCCAGATTTTCGTTACGAAATTGTCGTGTTAGGGGATTTTAAACAAAAGCAAACTGAATAAGTACACAGACGATTACCGCGTTGTTGGGTTCAAGAAATGCATTACTGCTTAATGTGGCGCATAATTGAGGATTCATTTCGGTCCCTTGCCTCGCTTCTAAGCGGACAATAGGGATTCTCAAAATATATCCTCGGTAGGAATTATTATTTAATTGCTTCCGTTATGAATCGCTGTAAAATAATTTTGTTTTAGACCACCTACATATCTACTTTTTGTTTTGGATTAAAGAAGATAGTATTGAATGGAATATTTTCATTTTTTGGACGTCAAATATTCTTGATAAATGATGGGAGCGCTGAGTTATTACATGTTTTCAATATTTTACCATATCACAGGCATTAAACCCAAAGGCGATACCGTCATGATGAGTAAAGAAATTATTTCAATTGTGTCATGTTTAAAGATTCGCACGTACAAAGAAGATAGGTATAATAATAGGATTGAAAAAACAAAATATTTGAAATATTCCCACAGAATGTTTTGAAGCCAAATCAGGGTTGGTGTTGAGAGTCCTAAGACAAGGAATACTATATATATATATATATATATATATATATATATATATATATATATATATATATATATATATATATATATATATATATATATATATATATATATATATATATATATATATACTAAATTGTTCAGCTGCTGCTCATTTGATAGTGGTTAGTTTTGGTTAGCCTTGCCAATTTAGCAAGCGAAGCCATTCAGAACGGTTTGTTTGGATTTTATTGCACTAATTATAATATAAACCCTGGTTTTTAGTTTTTGTTAGTTTAGATTTTGTGGTCCGCGATGGAAGACGTTTTACGAAAGGATAAGTTAATTTCTTTTCAAAGACAATTAATTTATTTCTTAAAGTAACAGGAATTCAACTGCTGCACAGAGTGAATTTGTCTCTTACCCAACGGCTTCTTTGTAGAGAACAGAAAACAATGCGATTCCAACCCCAGTGCCAGTCTGCGCAACCATTTCTACAAACTCCCGTCTCTTCTTGAAATAATGTCCGAGAACTATCGTAGAAGTTTCTCTGACTATACCTGCGGCCATCCCTAAGACAAGACCGTAGCTAAGCAACGCCTGATGAAATTTCACCGCGAACGAAGTAAAAAGGCAAGCCAGTGCTAGGACTAGACCACCTAGTACTGACGCAAGTCGGGTTGATTTTCGTCGACAAATCGCCACTATAAGAGGCGAGGTTGTGAAGGAAACGCAGAGACAGAGCGCACCCAGCCACGCTGAAACAGAAATGGATGACGTTGATATGCTGAGCAATTCGAAAGTTTACTCGCAATGAAGATAATATTCACAACATGTACCGGGTGGTCCAAATTCAAGGAGCCTCTATGACTCTCTTCAACTTTCGAGAGGAGTCGAAAACTAAAAACCAACATCATGATATGTCAAAACGTTTCTAAGGTACAGGGTGATTCTTAAAAATGTGCGTTTCTAAAAACCCTCTATAACTTTTTCATTTGTAAAGATAGAGATTTTTATTCAAAACATTTTTTGAAGATTTTTTAAGGGCAAATCTACCTGTTTCACCGATTTTGTCTTAAAGCCTTTAGTTCACGAGATATAACACAAAGTAACATTTTTTTAAATGGAATACCCTTTTTTTTAAATAGTTTTCTAATAAAATTTACTGTCAAACGATGTGGCATTATTAAGTATTTAAAAAGATCTCAGCAATTTTTAATAATTACCACAGTAGGCAGTGCCTAACTCTGACCTATGCAGTTTTGCGGTATCTATCTAGGTAGCTATGATCAGATAAAAACAAAAAATGTTTGAATACTTTGAAAAGTACAAAAGTATATGGTTCCTTTACAAGAACTAACGGTTCTGGGAGAAATAGAAATTAACCCGAATACTTCCACCAGGGCTATGGAGAGAAACACTGGAATTCCACCCGGCAATGCCGTGCGGGTGCGTAAAAAACACATGTTTAGGCCCTATCATATATTAGATGCATCAATTACGGCAACGAGGTTTTGCTCCAAGACGTGCACTTTACAGGTGGCACCTAAATAAATGCCAAGAAGACCCCAATTTTGCCAGGAAAGTGATTTGGACGGATGAGTCAACGATTTCTAGTGATGGAATATTCACCAGGTTTAACTGCTATTACTGGAAACAGCAAAATCCCTATGTTACGGTGGAACAAGCGAATCAGGGAAGGTTCAGTTTTAAGGTTTGGGTAGGCTTCTACAGAGGACAAATTATTGGGCCATATATTTTTGATGGAACTTTAAATGTCGAAAGATACCAACAAATTCTAGAAGATCAGGTAATTCCGTTTATCGACAAATTGACACTTCAGCAAAATAATGAGCTATACTTTCAACATGACGGTGCGCCTCCTCACAATGCACGAGACATTACTAATTTGTATTTCGAAATCGCCCAACTACTAGAAGGGATTTGAAAGAGGTACTGCATTCAGGCAGCTTCGTGAGGTAGAACTTTTTAATGCAGAAAATAGTGTCAAGAGAAGGGGTAAGATATGTTTACAAGAAACTTGTTATATGTAGATTTTAAGTGTTACATAGTTTAATTAATAAAAATTTTAAATAAAAAAAATGCTTTTAATAATTTTATTTCCGTTTATTATTTTAGGGTTGGTAAATATTGTAAACTAGAAGTTAAAGTGCGAGGTTGCTGTGTCCCCTCGTGTCGTAGCCAACTTCATTTTGTATGAAAAGAAAAACAATAATTTTTTTTTTAACTAATTAAATTAATTAAACTATTTAATAAAAATAGCTGTATGACACATCGTTTTTTAGAAAAATTGGGGGTATCTTTTTTAGGGAAACATAACTTTGTGTGATATGTCGGGAACTAAAGGCTTTCAGACAAAACGGAGAGAGATTCCCGCTTAAAAAAATTTAAGAAATATTTTTTCCCAAAACTCTATTCTTAGAATTAAAAAAGTTATGGAGAGGGCCTTTAAGATCGCACACTTTTGAGAATTACCCTGTGGCTCAAAAACTGCTGCTGACATATCATGATGCTGTTTACAGTTTTTGACTTCTTTCGAAAATCGAGTAACATGTATATTAATTTTGGGCTAACTGTGCTGCAAATGCTTACAGCCAAAGACGCCCCTCGAGTGTTTAATAAATGAGTGACTTAAAAGTCTACCGAATGTGTTGCATACTATACTTTTTCAACGACCGTTATTTTTTGGGTACATTTTCGCAAAACAACACGAATACATTCACTGACATGACCGTCAGAACTGACAAACGTCAAAATTTAAACCGTGCGATCAAATCTCCGAAAAAATCCGATTGCTCCCAAACCCGTGCGGTAAAATCCCGGAAATGTCCGAAGTGACTCGAATCCGTGGGAAACGAAACTGACATGGTAAAGTGACGCTTTCCGCACGCTAGATCGGTGTGTAATAAGGTGTTTTATATTTTATATTTGTGCAATAATATTCTAAACAGGAGCAACTAGTGATTGATTTCAAGTTCGTTAAATATTTGGCATTAAAAAACAAATTATATACTACGATTTGAGCATTGTAATTCGCCAATAATTAGGTTTCTGAAATGCATTTATTTGAACACGGAGACAGAGACGTCAGAACAATATAAAATTTACAAATTTTTAGTTGCGGTTTTCTTTAAAAAATCGCTTACTGATGAAAAACTTGTCCATAATTTTTACACATTCATATTGATTCATGAACGACTGGATTAAAAGGCATTATTGAGTCAAAAAGAGATGCTAAAAGGGAAACATGTTTGAAACTCTATCCCATACGTCAAGCAAATACGCAAGAAAATGTACAATCAATCAGCGTTTTCAAATTTTTAAACTACATAACTCGGAAGATTGCATCGATTTGAGTTTCTGCCCACGACGCGAGCACCGAATATTCGAGAGCTGCGATCAAGGCGGTAGAATCGATGTTTCCATTAAATTTTTCCTTTCCATTAATAAAACCGGGCTTCAATCGCCACTCAAAATGACGGGAAAATTGAAACTGACAATTTATGCAACTCTTCCGTTTGTCAATTTTCTTCCGTCATCCGTTTATGAGATTTTTTGGAGTTTTCCATGCGGGGCCGCCCTAATGAATCAACTAAATGGAAAATATGTTAATGTAGTGTTGTCGGTCGAGGATGGACGGGAGTTGGATTTTGTCAAACATCGAGTCCATCTATCTGCGAACTTTAGTGGAAGAATTTTAGGTTCGTATAGGCGCGCAATTTGAATAACGTTTCAGCATTTATACTGAAAGCTGTTGAGCCTTAATCAGAATTTAATACATAATTAAATACATTATACAAATCCCGAATAAAAAATCATAACCATATAAAACAACAAAACAAAATTAATTTGTATTTAATTTAATTTAATTTAATTTTAATGAATTTCAACAGTCGCAGTTTTATAGCTTACAAGAGCCAAAATATAGCAAAATTTTCTTTATTATTCGTTAACTTAATGTACAGTCAAAACATACAGCACCACTTAAAATTAGCGTTATCTTTGTATTATTTAAAGAACAATATTTGTGTTATGTGTTCAACCAGTGCTGATTCTAAATAACCAATTTCTCAGCCAGATTCATTGCATTATTGGTAGCTTGGACCTATATTTACACAACTTATAGGAACTTACGGACCAGTTGAAAAGTACAAAACAGTGGTAACAATGATCCAGCTCTTCAAGCGCCACCATTTCCAAGTACCTTTGTGGTTTTCCTATCATTCTTCATGGTCAAGTACCTATTTAACTACCGAATCAAATAGCATTTTGATTTGTTCTACTCTGTTTCATGCTCAAGTTAACTATATAATTAAGTCCCTCCTGAATATTCTAATCTTGTCATACCATACATCTAATGGAATTTACTAGTGTAAAATTATAGACCAAAATAATAGTCCTCCGATGAAAGTACTGCACGGTAACTTTCTTTCTTCACATTTCAGAATCTGATAGCGTATTACCCGAAGAGTCGACACCATTCAATACGGAACTCATCTGGGAGATAGAAAAAAAGGATCTGCGTAAAATCCGAACCATTAATCAACTTCTGCGCCTGGAGTGTATTTCGACGGATAGCTACAACCGTCGCGAAAGAATAGGCTTCGTTTTGTTCAGCTTGCGCAGTGCTCAGATTGTGCCCTCTAAAGAACCGAATATTCCTGTCAGATTCAAGTGGCACAAGCTTGTCGGGTGCCAAGCGGACAAGAAAAAATTCCATCCCGAACTATACGTGGCACTGACGGTCAGAGATCATTTGCCCAATCAAGAAGAAAATATCAAACCTCACAACGCGCCCTTAATTTCGGAGCAGGACGTAGTGGAACAACTGGAACTACCTTCGGAGTGTTATGTTAAATACTTGGACGACGGGTACATCCAAATCGGCACCGGTGATTATCCCGAGTCTTATTCGTTGAATCTGCTGATCGAAGAGGCGAAAAACTTGGATGCCCTGCTACCGGAAGAGATGGTATTCAAGGAAAATCCGGAAAAACTTCACATGTCCTTTACAATTTTCGGGGTGACCATCAAAACCAAGCCGTTTTACAAGCAAGTCGATGGTGTGACAAATCTCAACGAAAAAGTGGTGGTGAGGTTACTATCCAACGAACAGACGTTGTTTGACTTTTTCGTTAATCAATGCGTTACGATTTCCATATTCAGCGGACGCGACATGTTGGGAGTTGCAAAGGTAAACTTGCGCGCGGTTAATTTCAAAGAAATATCAGCGGTGAGCCATTTTACAACTCTCACAGGAAAAACCTCGATCGAGGGGAACGAATCTCCGCCTTCCATACAAATCCATATGTGGTTAAAGCGAGAGTTCCATCCTATTAGTGAAGAACTTAAAAGTCCTAGACAAATTATTTCCAACTTATACGAGCCAATGTCAATAGCGTGTAGCGATCGAGGAGATGAATTTATCTTAGACAATTTCAAACAAGTGTACACTAAATCCAATACGGAAGCTCAATTGGTTACCGACTGCCCGCAGATTATTAAGTCCGTAGATACCGTTGTCAAAAGCGCACCATTATCGCCAAGGTGCTTTAAGAAGTATGACGTCTTGGGCACCTACGCGGCTGGTATTTTAGAGGTCTCTTTGAAGAGTTTGGAATGGAAAAGTCGTCCGCAAGAGAACATAATTATTTTCAGGTTTCTGCATCCGAGAGCGTCGAGTTACATAACAATTTTAACCCACGTCAAGGATGCAGTAGGTGAAATGGTTGATCTAAATTGCCTCGGGGTTAAGATCGGTTACGTAGCCGAAAAGGATGTGATAGAAAGTACACTAAACGCGTGGCCCCCGAAGTTAGTGTTAACAGACGAAAATGATAAATTATTAAGCATGGAGGTTGAGTTTCGGACTACAAATTTTTTTACCACGAGCGACCACGCTTACACGTATGCGACAGAACTAAAAACTACAGCTCTACAACCATTGGCTTTGCTTCAAGTAACGTTGAAGTTCGAGTTAAGTGATCTAAGCGCTCTAAAAAATGCCGGAGATTGGTTTCTACGGCCTCCGATACTGGACGAAATGTTGAGCGTGAAGGAGCTCGCGGACATCGAAAGCTGGAAAAACTGCCGTAAGGAAATATTCGACGCGGAACTGATAAAGTTTAAAGAAGACGAACGCGCTAGGCTGGAAAGCGTGTTCGAGGACAAGAAGCGGGAATTGGAAAACAAATGGTGGGACTGTATCGAAAAATGTCAAAACCTCAAGCGCCATTTGCAGCTGAAACTGAACGAAATGAAAACCGCAAAATACGTTGCGGAAAAACGCCGTCAAGCGGATACATTCGAGGATGTATTTGCGGAAAACTGGCACACTTTCGAACTCAAAGATAAGACGGATGTTATAGAGGAGTTGAGCAGAACGCAGAGAGACAACGAGTATTTAAGGAAACTGGTCGCGGATCAGCGCGATGAGCTGCGATCGCTGAGAAGGACGACTTTAATAAAACGGAACTCAGCTAGTCTTTTAGAAGATCTTGAAGAATTGGAAAAACAGTTTGGCAATCTTCAACAGAGCAAGAAGGATTTCGTAGAGCAGTGGACGGCGAGTTGTGACTATGTAAAGACGGACATTGTAATTGGAGAGGAACCGCTTGGCGTTGGTATGAATTTTTCAGATGAGGAAAGTAGTAGTCAAAAGTAATATATTATTTTGGTAGAAATACGCATTCTCATGAATAATCCGGAACTCGGTGTTTATGTTGGTGTTTAATGAAATTCTGAAGTGAATTTGCGGCAGGCGTACCGGTTCTCGCTAAAAAGAAAACAAAAAAAGTGAAATGGGAGTATAATATAAATATAAATTTCAAACCAGTCATGGCAAAATTAAAAGTTAAAAATTTACAGAAAACGATACTGCTACTAACGATTAGATATTGATTTTTTTATTTATTTATTATTAATTAAAAAAAGTTTAAGGTAAATTAATAAACAATTAAGAAAAAAGCAAATTTAAGCGATCGTTGTTCAACAAAAAACAATCGTTGCTGTACTTAAATTATAAGTAATTACTTATAAATTAATATTTGGTAAATACATTCTAAAGTTTTTTTTCTCAAAGTTATTCTTTACCATTTATTGTTTGTATTTGTTTTGAACCCAAAATGTCTTAAAAAACATATTTTGCACTTGTGCCAAGCGTGATATATGGACCTTGAAACTTAAGTTCCAAATAGTGAAAGCAAAAGAAAGCTTACTAGGTTGAGTTTCTGCCAATCTATTTGATTCAGTAATGATCCGCTCCACGTGTGCTAGAATATTGATTGAGTTGAATTGATTTGATTCATATTTTTGGTAAAAGTATCAAGAATTTATTTTATTTACATATTTAGTTTAATTAAATTTTTAGATTCATTGCTGTTCCATGCCTATCTAGTGCGGCTATCGAAATATTAATTAGTTATTCGCTTTTCTTCTTCAAAATATGATATTAACGCAGATGTCATTTGAATGCTGATTGCAGCTCGCTAAGCCTCCGTATATAAGATTCCATAGCTATTCCACAGCGTATAGTGTTATCCGAGCCACTTCTGACATTTTCCGGATATTACAGCAGGGGTCTGGGAGCAATCGGATGTTTTCGGCTTGACGTTTGTCAATTCTGATGATCACGTCAGTGAATTTATTGGTGTTATTTTGCAAAAATGTACTCAAAAAGGTTGTACAAAAAGTATAGTTATGCAACAGATTAGGTAAACTTTTGAAGTCACTCGTTTATTAAACACTTGTTCCGCTCATGCCAAATAAACCCGTGCCTCAACCGCACTGGTTGCATAATATACTCTAAAAGATGCGAAAGTTATATGAGTAAGTCGCGTTAGAAATTTGGGGTTGCCTTAAGAGTTGAACCACAAATCATTTTTTAATTTGCAAAAGCTGTCTTTTATTAATTTCCAGAACATTCTTTTTACATTTGAAAATAAATCCGGGATATTACGGGGTCCCTTTGTTCAATTTCGATAGAAATGTCTCAAAAGTTTTCATTTAATATTTTCATTGCGAAACTACGTGAAAATAAATTTGTGATATTATCCATAGAATATAAAAATATTCATCATAACTTGGTTTGAGTAATTATTTTAATCAATTTCAATTTTTAAGTAAATATTAAGTAGTATAACATAAATGTATGTTTTTAAACCTTGGAATCTGTCTTAGAAAAATAACTGAGCTGATTCTGATAAACGACTTCGCTTCTATGGCTAACTATTAAAAATATGTCAAAATAATGTGATTAAAGAATTATGGTGATTATTTCGAAAATCGCACGAGTTTAGTGCGCCAAAATTCTGCATCATTTCGAAGTAAATTTAATCTTTTAGAACATTAAAAAATATACGGGGTGTCCTGTTTTCACCATTTTCTGTCCGGATAATTAATTTTAAACCAATTCGAATACTATGAAATGAATGAATTAACATTTATTTAAAAAAGTCTACTAGACAAGACTTTCGCAAAGTGGGCTCAAATGGCGGCTAATTTAGGTTTTAGTAGTATCGTGTTTTGGTAAAAGGAAAAGAGAGGAAAATAATCAAGATTTCGAAAATTGCGCTAGACAGATATAGCAAAGGATACGACATTGCCAAATGATATTGTTCGGAGCAACATTGTATAGTCCAAAATTTTCGGTTTTCATATATATCATCGACAATCAAATACCCGGTATGAAGATATTGTTGGAAGTCAATTTTCAGGACGTTATTTGTTAAATATTGAAAATACTGTTGCTTGAGATTAGTGAATAATCCACCAAATTTTCCAACTTTTTTAGCTAACATTTTCGCAATTAAAAAAATTGGCACAATCAGCTTGTTTAAGCGCCTATCGCGTTGAATCAGGTGGTTTTTTTATTTTCATGATGTAGTCGTTCCCGATTTATGTAATAAAGCTGAAAATTCCCATTTTGGCATTTAATTGCAATTTGTTTAAATAAACCGAACGGAACCAAAATGCGTTGAAATGGCGATTATAAAACAACGATACATAGCTTCGGCTCAGATTATATTTTCTTATCTGTTTTCTGGTATTGTTGTTATCTGCCTGTAGCTAATGGCTATTAGTATGTAATATAGAAATATCCCTTAATTACGAAGGGATGGTTTATACATTTTCTCATTTTTTTCTGAGGCCTACCAGTAAAATGAATCTTAATCTACATAAAAGAAGAAAAAAATATGCTTGATAACCCGTTGTTGAAGTTAGTCCTTCTCAATAAGCCTTTTATATTTATAAGTAAGGTTTGCTTTGTACCTCTAGTGAGCAACTATATGCAGATCAACCTGCCTCCCTCAATGACTCTGAATATGGTTAGTCGTTCTCTTTTTCATCATTTTCTCACCTTTTGAACTATAGATGCAACATCCTAATTTAAAGTAAAGTAAATTTGTATTATAATTTAAAATAAAAAAATCCCTTTGTAAATTCACTATATATACAAAAATTTATCTGTCTGGGAAGAGTTTGTATTTGCGGCAAATACCTTATATTGTAAAATATGTCAATTTTATTTTGCTTTGCTTTAAAAGGATACGTGAGTTAAAAGGACGTGATATCAAAGAATCCATTTGTTACTGTAGTCGAGTCGAACGGATAACATCGATTTGTACATTCGATTAATGTTGCTCTATTGTTCTCGTTGATGTAATTTAATACCATAGGCGCCTCGTCTGAAAATTATGCAAGACGGACGAAAGCGGATTTATCAACCCGTAGGAATCAAAAATTAAAAAATATATTGTTTTTGTTTTGTTTCCTAGAACGCGATGATCAAAACTAGTCAAAAACCGTTTCGCAAACGTACATTGTGCATGCTGTACATAAGAATGTACAGGATGTGCAGTTTTAAATGAACGGTGCGTTGAAGTGCAAAGAATCTGTCGCCGTTCTCTTTGGAAACAAAAGTTGTGCTAGCAAGATATCAAAAGATTTAAATTTCGTTATAATCTATTGCTCCAGGAGGTGGAAACCACTAAAAGTCTAGGCTTAGTTAGTGATTCACAACTTAAGTTTTCCAGCCATACTAATTTCATATATTCTTATTGAGTTTCAAATCCCACAGGCATTATCATAATCGAAATAATAATTATTTATAATTTAATTTTATATTTATTATGTGGCATAGTGTATGGATCTTCACCAGATGGTCGAGATTATTTTAGAATTTAGAAAATACAGAATTCGTGAACTAGATTTATTTTCAGTATGAAAAGATGGTCGGGTATCCAAGATTAAACACATTTATTCATTCATCTCCTCTTTAGTAACATAAAAAAATACTTTTATAATTAGAGGAAAAGTGCATTAACAATACATGAACGTAAAAGCCAATTTTTAAAAAATCGTTGTCATATAATATTTGTCATTGTGTTAATTTGACTCATTTTTCACTTATAAAGAGAATCCAATTAACTCTTATTTTAAGTATTTTGGTA